TCACGGAATGATCCTAGTCGTCGAAAATTCACGGAATGATCCTAGTCGTCGAAAATTCGGAGGTATGTACCTTAGGATTTAATAGTCACTGATTGAAAGAATTATCTTACTGAACCTGAATTATGTTAGTGTTATAGTTGTAAACATGAACTCTTGACTTTCATAGTACCACAAAATCTAAGCATCAAGAATTTATAGATAAATAATGAAGTTTCCTCAGTACGTTTCCTCTGGTTGTGCATCCATCTTCTCCTCTGTGAAGGAGATCTCTGGAGCGGTGTGGTAGCTCTCATCCTTCCCGTCCTCACGGTCACTCTTGGGGCTCTCCTGGACCTTCTCAACAGTCTTCTGGACAGGCTTCTACAGTTATGAAGAGAATTATAATGGTCATAAGCAGTGTTCTAACCAGACTGTCCTCTCAATTTTGTTTGACATAGTATCATGTCTCACACTAGCCTGGGTGCCATCCCTTTTGTAACGGGGCTCCTTGCACTCTCTACCTCGGAAAAAAAAAGGTACAAAATCAGCCTACCTTGGAGATGGCTGAAACAGCAGACTTCCTGGGGGGTCGTCTGTCCTCCTCCTCAGACGAACTACTGCTGGAGCTGGAGTTAGATCTGGATCGAGATCTGGACTGGGAGCTGGATCATGATGGAGAACGTAACATGGGGAAAACTCATTATGATGACTTAGGTATTTACCCAAAAATGCTCTCTGCATGATTAACAAGAAGTACAATAAGTTTTTTATTAAACTCAAAGGCATCCAGTGAAATTCTGTGCAGTAATACAAAAAATATTCTGGATGAAGAAATCTCTCTGATGTTGACATGTACTGCCATTTCTTAGTACATTTTTGTCATTAATTCATACCTGAAGCATTTGAAATTGCTCCAAAACAAGTTACCTAAGGAATCCTTTTAATTTTTGGTACCACCAATAAATAGCTAAAACTAGTCTACAATACAAAACAAGCAAGCTTTCTGTCAGCAACATCACATTTTTGGCCTAACAGATATCAGTATGCTATATATGGGATAGGGTTTATTCCACTCACTACATTTATTTAAATTTAAAAATGACCATGATAAGAATGTATTGACTGAAAATCCTGACCTTGAAGAACTGGACTGACTGCTGGAACTGTCCTTCCTGCGCCGACTGTTCTTCTCCAGAGCCACCTTCTTAGCCTTACGTGGCGGCAGAGGGTCATCACTTGTGGTCACAGTGTCCTTCATGTCTGCAGACTTCTGAAAACGAACAATCAGGGGACGAGATCAACTCAAGGTGACACAATTTGCATGTATATATTTTTCATCTAAAGCAATTTTCACAGGTTACAACCTTGCAAATTACTGTCATTTCTAATGACCTAGTACTGATAGCTGTTAGAAGCTTTCAGCAGACTTGATATTTTTGCACTGAAATGCACATACATTGTATCTACTCCCACCTAGTACATCTGATTGTACTGTATATATCAGTTGGTCAGTCAAAAATGTGTTGAGCTAAAAATTAGGCCAGGCAATTTTCTTATTTTGAAAGATGGTACCATCAAATCAAAACATTCTACAGTACATGCAAAAACTCTAAACCTGCGTTAGAACTAGAAAGACAGCCAACATTTTGCAAGACACCGTGACTACCCTTAACTGTCAATAGTTCACAGAAATGCAATTAACATTTCTATGAATAGCCTGAGTGCAATGACCCACAAACCTATTTCATCCCTCAAAATAGCCTGACCAAATACTGCAGCACAGAGCAAAGCAAATAGAAAGGGGACACCGATTGCCCTGCTGAACCAAGTTCTGCTTTGTAAACATGAAAAAATGCAGTGATAAACATGTGAAAGAAAAAAGCCTGCATATTAAATATTCATGTGGGTAGCTTGTAGCAGACAATTAGGTTGTTGGCAAGTGTGACAGATGTGTCAAAAGCACCAGTCTATCTCCACTGCATGTCGACAAACTATTGATTTTAGCCCACAAGCTTATTAGCCAAATTGCTTGTCTACATTCCGTGAAGAAACTGCCCACATATTTTTTTCAGCAGCAGCCTAAGAAGACATGAGAGTTTATGGAGGATTAGATGGACACCAGCTAAAAGCCGAGGGATTTTAAGGTCAAGAATTTGACCTTCATGATGCAGTTTGCCAAAGAGTTATTACACGCAAGTACTAGTACTTGACGTAACACGCCAAATGATATAGACTAAATGCACAGGAGGTTACTATATTATATAACATGAACTGGGCAATAGGATATATGGAATACAAAGAGTGTTAGAATGTAGTTGGAGGTAACATGTGAACCATGCATGACAAGTACATGGAGTTTTGGTAAGAACAGAACTGCTGTGAATACAGCAGCAAAGGTATGAAGTTAAATATACCACAGAGTATAGTTATCAGTGGCTGACTGCAAATATGTTCATGCATTATAAAAACAATAATGGAACAATGCTGGTTTAGTAGGCTGAGGGTATGCATGCAAATTAGAACAGTTGCAAATCATGCAAACTGAATGACAAGAAAACAGTTATTATTGCAAGCCCGTGGGAGAGACATGGTATGATTTGAATGAGACAACTGGTAAGGCAAAATCCCATTAGTTCAAGCTGGGCAAATGAAAGAACACTAGAAAAGAGAACAATGGTCTATAAATATAATTCAACAAAGGAAATACATCATTCATTATTATCATAGATTCGGTAATTTGAAGGCATGGTATAAATGCAAATCAACAAACAATTAAAAGCTGCAAAAGATACAATACTCATTGTACTCGTCAGTAGATGTACAGATATATTGACAATTTGTACATGCAGGGCTGAGGTAAGATACTGAATATTGCACATGCAGGCATGAGGTAAGGCATTGAACATTGCACATGCAGAAATAAGGTAAGTTGTTGATATTGCACATGCAGGTACAAGGTAAGGCTACCTGTGGGGTATCTTCTGGTTCAGCCTGTACTTTGGTCTCTTCCTCTCTCTCAGACTCTTTGCCAGAGGGAGGGTCCTCAATCATCGGATCAGCCGACTCTTTTTCCTCTTCTACCCCTTTCTCCCCTGGAGGCTGCTCCCGCTGTTCAACAGGCTCTTCCTCCTCTTGTTGTAGCTCTGATTGGCTAAAGATAACCACTTTAGCTTCTGTGTCTTCTGGTTGGTCAGGTTCAGCCTCTTCTGCTGTGGCCTCTTCAGGACTGTAGCTCAGCTCTGGAGGCTCTTCTGGGGGGTCAGCTGATGTCTCCTGTGGGATGTCAACTTTGACCTCTTCTGGAGGGTCAACTCTGACCTCTTCTGGAGGGTCAACTTCGACCTCTCTTGGAGGGTCAGCTGCGATCTCTTCTGGAAGGTCAACCTCAACCTCTTCTGGAGGGACAACTCTGACCTCCTCTGGAGGGTCAACCTCAATGACTTCTGGAGGTGGCACCACAGTGTCTTCTGGGGGGTCAACTTCAACCACCTCAGGGGGGGTAGGCTCTTCTTGTTGCGGAGGATCGACCACCAGCTCCTGGGGTCCCGAGGGGGGGTCTGGTGACGGCTGAGGGGGCTCAGCTACTGGTTCTGGGGGGGTCTCCTTAGTGACTGTCTCCTGCTGTTGGAAGACAGTTTCAGGGAGGGGGTCTACTTCAGCAACTTCTGCTCTTTCCTGGAACAAAGAAGGTAATCATGCACACTCACTACAAGTCAACTACAAGAGAGAATACAGCATTCATTCATTCAAGTGCATGATGGTGTTTTAGTATATGTGCACTGATTGTATATATATATATAATGGTAAATCAGTCCATAGAATCAATGGCCCATAAAAACAATTATAGTATACATATTACTGTAGGTTAAACTTATGCCTTTTTATCATTGCAAACCATAAACTATACACATGCTTGGTTCAACCTTTAACATGCTGAATTCCCTGTGAGGAAGCAATTTGGAGGCATGAACTAGAGGTTACTCACAGTAAAATGATACTGAAACAATGTCAAAACTTGTCAAGCAGCCATTGGACATACTATAAACATCCTGATACTAAACGTCACACTAACAATAACAAATGTATATGTTGATACACACTGGTTCCAAATCAATAGAAATGTATAGATCATTATCAAACGCATACTGTAGTTGCCTGCCTCTTGGACACTTGTATCCACCTGGTTTCCCAAGCCTAGACTATTTCCAACATCTGTCCCGGACGTAATTTGTCATCTCCCAGAAAAGAAAATACCCCTGGGAACATCTTATCTGATATAGGCACCTATAGCCAGCTGCCTAGTACAGGTACCCACGGTATGTCTGTTACCACACTGTACCCCTAATTATCATACATCCCAACAGTTTTGTCTCCATTAAGAAATAGCTCACTATGAAATTAACAGTCATTAATATTGCTGAATAGATCTTCACCATGACTGTTCAGTTTCAAGCCCTTGACAATTATGATAAAGTTGTGGATGAAATGAGCTGACACATCCTGTTCAACATGACAGCGCACTGGGATCTCCACACTGAAGCATGCTTCATGTCTAGCATATCAATTACCTGTGCTGAACGATTAAAGACGTCCCAGACACATCATGTTTATACCCTTTTTGGTATTCCACTGAAGGCTGCCAGACTGAGTTTAGATCTGAAACTCTGTTCACAAGATGTTAAGCTTCGAAACCCAAGTTTATCCAACTGTGATTGCGTTACAGATAGTATGGGAAAGCATGTTATGACTTATAGGTTTGTGCTATTTGTGTATCATTTCAGTGCATGTTACACGTTGGCCTCCTAGGTTTTCTAAAATTTCGCATCTGGATTTGCCCTGAAATGATATCAAATTTGAAGTGTATACTGTATACATGTACACCAACATGATGGAATCATATGGTGGAATGAATGAAGAGCAAACCCAATTCTACATTGCCAATTGCAATTTGTAGGGGATCGAATTCATCTATATACTATGTTCGAGTAATAAGTTTAAATGATCTAGATTACTTACCCTCTATTTCCTCTGAAGTTGGCAGTACATACAGAGATCATTTGTCAATTTGACACTACACAGAGAGGTCTACTGCATTACAGATTATATGTAGCTTTATGTGCCTAGTCACGTTGGAATCCCTGGGACAGTAACCCCCGACCTTTAGACTTTCTGACATCTCTCCATCCACCAGAAATTTAAGCTGGCTTCTGACATTTGGTACCCTATAATCATTGCCCAACAGATATCATTTTATAACTAAAAAATTATGTTACAAGTCAGAGCAAGATTACAACTTAAAATTCATACAAATTGTTGCAGTTTTTCATTTGTTGCCACATGAAGCTGAATATAGGATGTTGCCATGATTAATCAATAATGATATTTATCAATATATACAGAAGAAATCAGGTGGGAATAGTGAAATGGTGTCTGCAAAACGTCAGCCTTTTCACAAATTGAACCACCTGCACTTTTGAACTAATCCTGTAATGCTAGTTAAGCTTCATGCATAGAAATGCTGTCATGAACCAAATGGCAAATTGGCAAGAAATATTATGAAGAATTCATAACTGAACCTTTTCCCTTGCAGAAGACAATGATTATCTAAGAACTTAAGAATGACTTTGAGATAAAAGGAAAGTTACTTAGTAGTACCACCAGAACGAAAAAGAACCTATACTTACAACGATGCAGACGTGTGAAGCTATTCTTTTGTCTGGTCTCGTGAAAACGCAGTGTCATGAAGACCATGTTATCATTGGCAAGTTCTGTTATACATTCACCCAATATGGCGAGACAGAATCTTAGACCATAGTTCAACGTACCTCAGTCTCAAGTTCCATTCGGACTGGGTATACACACTTACTATATCTAGGTATTCTGCTTACTGGGTGTATCTATTTCATTAAGATATTGTTTTCAGATATTATTTTAATCTATCTATAGATCACCCGAGTGGAAAAGACAAGACTAGATTGTTGCAGGTCCAAGATGGATACTACATGAGTTCTCTATCATAAATTGCAATTTGAATGCGTGAACATATCCCTTCTATGAGTAACGGTCAATTAGAACATGACACTTTTTTTTGCTTTTTAAGCTGAGAATTTGCAATGAAGCATTTTTTATGCCTCTGGTTATTTAGGAAATGTTGCAAACGACACTAATTACATCAAGGCTTGACTCTGCACTCTCCACATGCACACAAAAGCATTCAGAATGAAAAAACAGACGCTTTTCACATTCTCAATGCCTTTATTGTTGTTTCCACTTCTTTACAGGAAATCTTGCTGTCTTCAGTGCACAGTAAACATGAGTTTCTCTGTACAGTAGTTTGCAGCAACAGAACAGGATTTTGGAAAGTGCTACACCTCTTGTGGGACTTATAAAGCCCAAGCAGAGAGAACAGAGCAGCCTTAAAGCTTACTAAATATTTTCTTACAGGCATGTTGTGTTTTACAACAATTTTGCATGCAAAGATTAGATCAGAAATTTAGACTTATTTAGAGTGAAGAAATATTGCATGGCTTTTGATTCAAAGAGACGGGAAGACAAATGATGGTAAAAATCTTCAAGTTAAGAGAACGGCATTTTTAACTACAAAGAAAAACATTCCTCGACTAACAAATTTGTAACTAGATCATAGAAGATGATAAAGTTAACCAAAGTATGGCTTAGGTCCTTTTGCAACCACTCAAAACATTAAAAAGTCTATAGTTAAACTTAATATTTAGAACTTGAGCACATGACAATGCAATGCTCCTAAGAAATAATTTGACAGTTAAACTTGGGTTCTTACATGAATGTTCTGAATAACAAAGCACCAAGTTTTTCAAAATGTAACACAAACAGCTAACCCTAATCAGACCTACTAAGAAATATTTCCTATAAATAAAGTATAATTCAAAAAACTAGGAGTCATAAAACCTGGTTGATACCACCAGCACATCAACTGTTTTATGGCTTACTAGTATATATCTCTAAGTAAAGCTTTAACTAAAGCAACAGGCAACATTTCATGATGCAACATTATACATGTGCAACATACTTACATAGATAACCATTTAAAATGCCCATGCTATACAATGGCATAGAGTTCAGATTAGAGTTACCTCTGCAAACTTTTGTCAATATCAAATTGTACTGTTTACAGTTACCAAATAATGACATGGCTATTAGTACTGGCAAGACAAAATCCACAAACCATTGAGTGCTGTCAAACAACAACTCAAGTCAATATAAGCCTTCCACCAGTTGAAAAAGTTTCATAAAGCAGTACACTTTATATACATAGATAATTAATTTTCTGAATAAATCTCTGTGTTCTGGTGGAAGCCCATTATTTGTACATCTCCAACGTGTAGTCCAAATGTTAATGAAGAAAGTACTGTTTTGGAGTTATGCAACACTTCTTTTAATCTTGTTTCAGCTTTGTCTAGGAGCTATTTGCAAAACTAAAGCTGGTTTGGAAGAGCTAGATCAGGCATCAGTTCAGACTTCTCAAACCTGTCTTGTATAGGCTTCACCATTGTCTCCGACCAAAGTTACTTCAACTCTATGTTAACTTCTAACACTACTTGTCTAATTTAAAACTTGCATTCCTGTTTAACTGTAACTATACTAGTTCATGTATCAATCTACCTCAAGTACCATCACTGTTCACTTTAACCAGGGCTCGAAATTCATTTTTGGAAATAGGTGCACTGGTGCACCCAACCTAAAATATTGGGTCACAAAAAATTTTGGGGTGCACCATATTATATGAAATAGAATGTGAGCAAAACCAAGTTGCAAACCTTACTGCTCCTTTTCTGAGCGAGAATCTTACTGGTAATCTTTCTCACATTTTGATGTTTGAAGGTATGCTGTATACTACATTTAATATCTAAACATATATAAACTTAAAAAAAACTGGGTGCGCAGCTCCAAGTTTGGATGCACCAAGGTGAACATGTACCCAGTATTTCGAGCCCTGCTTGCTCTTCTTGTATGCTCTCATTTTTAACTGCATACGAGGGGGTGAGTGAAAAACTGAACAAGGCTGGTACCCAGGCTACAAACATCACACTAAACTGTCACAAAATAAAGCTATGGCTACCTAATGTATTGCAGTAAAACCTGCAGTAAACCTAGCTCACCTGGCATGTCCATCAAAATCTTCTCTTACCACAAATATCAAACTGATTACGAACTAAAATATAGGAACACACAATGTCTTCATAATAGACCATTCCATTTCAAAAGAAAGGGGGTGCCGGCAAGGTTCACTAAAGGATTAGAATAAGTGGTCTTTGGCATGTTGGAATCAGAAGGCAGTATATTATACCTGATGTGGCTGTACTGGCAGCTCTGGCTCTTTGTCTTCCTCTTTCTCTGCCTCTGCCTTAGCTCTCTGCAACCTATGGAGAGGGAAAAAGATGAAGATTTCAATTCATTGCCATCTGAGCATTACTGAACTAGATGCTCAGTTGAATATCTAGAATAGAATCTTCAATACCCTGGTTACTGCTTAGAATAGTTAAAGCAAAATCCATTGCCATTACCAATGTCTTCAGTGAATAGCCACTCCTACACCTGGGCTCAAAATACGTTTTTTGGAAAATTACCTGCACCAGAAAAATTTTGCCCACACTTATGGATATGGATCATACTAAAAACTGACAATTTAGAAACCATTGCCATTATTTCTTTTATATATCATAGATGGTAACAGTAAATGCAGCATGAAAAAGAAACATACGCCTACATTTTATATAAAAACCTAGTACATGGACCAGTGCAGGTTAGGTGCAGGCAGACATCAGAAATACCTGCACACCCCTAATTTTTACCTGCACTAAGGTGCACATGCACCCAGCATTTCCAGGCCTGGTACTGATTTACACCAGACTTTGTACCTTTTTTATTAAAAACACAAACCGCTGTCTCTCCTACCTGGGCTGTTTGACAGGCGGTTCCTCAGGTTCAGGCTCCTGTCTCTTCTGCTGCTCCAGTCGAGGTGGAGAAGACACCGGCACAGGTACTGGTACTGCCTGGGGGGCCTGGAAACAATCAGGACAAAGGTTTCAATTTTGTACCATATCCCAAAATCATTACAACATTTATGAAATCCTGAAAGCACTATAACTTTGTCACACCAAGAGAAACAAAGGAATCTTCTAGCACATTTCTTTTCTCATTTTTATTTCAGTCCATACCATAGGTATGCCCATAACATAGATATGGACGAAATATTATTTCTACTCATGATTCTTCTTCATCTCCTCCTGTCATGTCAAGCAGTGGGGACTACATGGGGGTATTGAAACACTTGATATTGAAGAGCACTACAACAAAAAGGTTGATATGGTGGAACAGTCCATTGTGGAATGAGGAGGGAGATGGACTGAAATATGTTGTATTTGCTCCTGAGCAAAAGTCCGCCTGTCCAGTTACAATGTAATTGACAGAAATGCTACATAGATTAGAGCTAATAGAGGGTTTTCTGTAAGCTGACCTGTTCTGAATGTGGCTGCAGTACAGGTGGAGGCTGGTCGTCTACCTGTGGAGGCAGTTTGGTCCTCTCTTCCTCCGCTGCCTTGGTCTCTGCCTTCTCTGCCTTTTTCCCTGTAGCTGGCTCACTTGGGGGAGGGGGAACTGTAGTGGTAGAGGCTGTAACCAAGAGAAAATATTTTGAAATAAACCTGCAAAACACTTCTTTTTTTTTTTTTAATGTAAATGTACTATTATATAGTCACCTATGGCATCTTGAAAAGAAGCAGCTGCAAATAACACTAAAACAAACTCTTGTGTTTGAAAATCAAATGTATAGCTACATGGGAAAAATGAAGAACACAGAACTTGTTACTTGTCTGTGATGGCGAAACATGGGGTGGAAATGTGAGACACTGAAGTACCTTGGTCCTGTTGTTGCCTTCTTTTCTCCTCGAGTTGTCTCCTGAGCAGCTCCTGCTGTTCTCTCATGTACTGCTGGATAAACTCATTTGCTCCTGTCTTCTCATCCTCAGCAATCTGCAACAAATGCATACATACATGTATAACTATAGCTGCAGCAAATGACAAATGGACAAGCAAAAGGAGTAAAGCAGGCTTTACCCCAGAGGTGTAGCCAAAAAAATGTCCCTAAAGGAAAATGTCTCTTGCTATGACCTCATTCATGCTCAATCAATCTACATGGATTCATTCAAGGCCACTTCTTACAATAATACAAATCCATCTTCCTAACAAATTGCATTGTTAATCAGTCACATATAGATTTCAGCAATGGCTTGGGACATAAAAACAAGGTTTACGTAATGAACTTCAAGGCTACCTAGTAAAACAAGGAAATACTCACAGCAAAATTTGGTTGGACACCTGCAATACAACAGGGAGGAAAAATGTTTTCATGATTGGTTGCAGCACAAAATTGCTAGAGAAATAGTGGGCATGCCACCAATATAAAATGACAAGTGTATATCAACTGTAAATATCCATGTGTAATAAAGGTGGTAAATAAAAGGAACGACTTGCACCCTGTCAAAATAATTTACAGTGCAAGTGGAATTTCTAAAATGAGCTTTATTTCATACATGTGTAAGTAAAATGTATTTTTAAGATAAAAAAAATAAAACTGTTCAGTGTCATTCCAAATAATTTACGTAAGGCCACTCAAACAACATCTACAAGTACAAACACTTTGCTACTAACTCATCAAGTCACTAATGATTTCACCATTGTGTAACCATATGATTTGCATGCAAGTGTGCAACAAGACCTCTTACGATTCTAAATGATATTTCATTGGTCACAGTGTGAGTCATTTCCATGGTGTTCACTGATGCGAATAATGATACCACACAACAGTGACAACAGCTGTCAAAAGCATGAAGTACAGACCACACACACACACTACTACAAACAATTCATAATGTAAGACTTACCTTCTTCTTTAACTGCTTTCTTCTGGAGGTTCTCAAACATCAACGCCTGGAGGGACACAGAAGATAGATTCACATGAGCTGAATGCCTGACAGAGACAGTAGTGTGTTCTAGAAACTGGTGAGAAAAATCAATACATCCAGATATACCCAGATCTACGGCTAATGGATATACAGCGAATGCAGGAATGCTCTGGCAAACTGAAGTCAGAAGGTCAGACTAGTGTACTACATGCACTACTAATACCCATTGGCTGATGAGTCTGAGATAAATTGACTACTAGTATCATGTGTTTTCCAGGCAAAAAGAAATTTCTCTAAGACTAAATTACCCGTAACACATTCTTCTTGGACATGTATGTACTTTTGGCCTAACTTCTTAAATGTTGATGCAACATAAAAGAACAATGTTATACACAATTTTTAGTTCCATAATTTAAGTGAAATTGTCTGATGTTATGTATGATTTTAGCATAATATTTTGCCAAAATCAGACAGTGCTGATATATTTGAAAAAGGATTTTTTTCCTTGAACAGGTTTGCTTGGTCTTGCATGTTACATTTCACAATTATAGTATCTTTTTTCTTTTCAAATTTGCACTGCCAATTACAAAATTATAGAACTTAATGTAATCATGTTCTAATACACTACTTGAAAACTAGGCGCTACACTATAACTAAAAGTTTAAACATGAATAATATGTCCTGGTTTGAAGAAAACATGACACGGTAAGGCCAAATAGTACTAGTAATTCAAAATCATCCAAAAACCTGGTTCTGGGATGACTATCTAAAAGAAATTTGCTCAGATTAGATAAAAGAAGACATGTGCCACACCCCTTACGATCTGTGGTATGGTCCATTTCCTCTGAAATAGACTTGTGTACAACAACTTACACAAGAAACAACGCGTCGCCTTGTAAAACTGGGAAGCATTAACCAACAATAAAAACCATTATTGCAATGGAGTATGGCAAATTGGTGACTAAAAAAATGCCAAGAAATGCAGAAAAACAAAGTATCAGAGCAAAATTCAGCGGCAACTTCTCCCCCAGGCTGCGATTTACCCAGTAATAGGGTCACACGAAATGAATATTTGATGATTTACGGGGTACATAACATGACCGATTTAGAGTAAGCATTTGGGACGACAATTCCTGGGCAAAGGCTACGAGCTGAGGGGAAATAGATTGACGTGGGACAGAAATAACTGTTGAGTGGACCCGGGAGCACGCGCCGACGCCATGATGGCGCAGTTCTGAACAAAGACAACGTGCAAAAACAATCACTAGATCGCTTGAGCTTCATCTTCCGACACAACGCCCCGCTCCCGGCTTCAAGGCCCAAAAACTGCACCAGAAACATCGCCAGCGCGGGTCTCTGAGGTAAAACAAGGGTGTGTGGACCAAACCTGCTTGAGCCTCTTGACAAGTTCGTTCTTTGAACCGCTTTTGGACAGTCCTCGCGACTCGAGGGCGGCCTTGAGGTCCACAACGCGCAGTTGGTTCAGCGGTTTGCCGTCCAATAGCAGTTGTTCGTCCGCCATATTGAATCCGAATGCACGCCGAAATGTCCGGGATTACGCCGATTCATTCCGGACATTACCGAACGGAACGACACCGTTGAGTAAATCATCATATTTCCATAAATCATGCATCAAGTAATTAATCTTTACACGTAATAACGATTAAGAGTTTTAGGTATTCAGAATAAATCACGTAAAACGTCAATCTTACCTTGCTAATCAACCGCGTGGCGGTGGCGACGATTTACGGAAATTACCGACCAAATCCGACGGGAGCGTTCGGGAGGTCAGAAGGGGGTCATGACGAAGTAAACAGAATGGGAGGGAACAAATAGAACCGAAAAATGACATCCATGTTTTATTACAGCGAGCAGTTCCTGGATTGATCTCTTCTGGGATTGGAATCGATGTCAGGAATGGCGGCACCTCAGGACGGCGCATTGCAGGCAGCCATGGGGCTCGTAAAGGAAGCCATTCGTCTAGATTCCTTGGAGAAAACTCAGGTTTCAACTCCCGTTTTGTATCATCTATAACCTTAGGGGGGGTTCAGGGGGGTTATTTTACATGTCAGAACGATCATGATTTGTTTAGTACAGTAGCCATAGACATAAGTGAAAAATAAATACGTGTACAGATTGTTTATACATATGTTGAAATTTTGTACACCATATCTAGCCACGTTGTGAAAGGTAATTTATAACGGTGCATTATTATAATTATATTGCTAATTCCCTAGGGATACATACAGTTATGATGGTGCAGGTCTGATCAATGGAGGTTTACATTGCATTTGATTTTTGAACTGCCATTGCAGTCGTCTGAAATGCTTTAAAAGTTTGAATAATCAATTAATTAATCAATCAATCAGTCAATCAATCAATCAATCACTCAATCATCAAGTCAATGTTAATGTTATGTTTTTACATTAGGATGCCTACATCCAATACCTGGAAAGTGTAGCTTACATCTCCCAAGGCCTTCTCACAGAGGCAAAAGGTCACACAGGTAAGTGATTTGTTATCTTTTGCTTCGAAAGAAACCTTGATGTTTTTTGGGTATTTTAATTTATATTTTTGTTTCCCCTACTTGTGTTTTTAACAACAATGTTAGTAACTTAGAGTTTGCTTTGAAATGAAACATCAGTGTTTTTTTTTTTGTTATAACTTATTGTTTCCCTGCTTGTGTTTTGTCTAAGTCCCACCAAACATAAACTTTTGTGGTTTTTGCTTTTCCCATCAATTGGTGAACATTGATATATGTACTGTATTTGATTTTTCGTAATTACTGATTCACATCCATTACAACAGGACCAGCTAATGTCAAGAACACCAAACGTCTACTACAGCTTGCACAGCAGTGTATAGAGAGGGCTTCTACTGTCACTGACAGAATGCAAGGTGTGGGACAGTATTGATATACATCAGTCATAAACATTCAGTAAAAGTTAAATATTCATAACCCAAATTAGCGTTTAATGATTGGAACACAGTTCAGAAATGTTTGGATGATAAGTATTGTAACAGTTATGCTATGTTATGTTAGATCCTATTGTAGGTGGCAGAAATACAATGTATTGCCAGGTACTAACTATTGAATTCTCCTGTTGTCTTGTATAGAGTCACAGTCACTTCAACAGTCTGGAATGGGGCCAGCAGAAGGTTCACCTGGACCGACAGCACCTGGGAATCACTCAATGCAGGCAACAGCTGTCATGGGAGCATCTGCAGCACCTGGCTACCAATCCCTGCCACCTGCAACATCTGGCTACCAATCCTCGCCACCTACAGCACCTGGTAACCAGTCTCTGCCACCTGCAGCACCTGGCAACCAGTCCCTGCCACCTGTCACACATGGAAACCAGTTCATACCACCTGCTTCAGGTGCTGCAAGAACAGCACCCTTCCAGGGTAACTTGAGGTCAACTCTTCCAACATCTCCTGCATCCTCAAGGAGGTCAGTTTGAGTATATGCATATACATGTGTGTGCATGATACCCAAGGAAAAATCATATTCCACTCATAAACGATAAAGTTTTGAGTTCACCCTAAACAACCTTGGCAAAAGAAATCATCTGGTATGATAGTCACTAGTCTTGTACAACTACAATGAACACCTGTAAAATGTACCTCTTTGCTGTTCCCAGGATGCCCCCCAGCCCACTGCAGAAGGCATACCAGGACAACCAGAAACTCATGGCTGCTTACCAGGCCCGCATGACCAGGCTACGGGGGCGCAGGGACAAGGGACAACTGGTAGGGGGCACTTCTGTAACTCAGTCTACTACATTGTAATAAATTTCTCTATACAATCCAATGTTGACTTTTTGCTTAGATCTGATGGCTTTGTGAATACCATGAAGGAACCATTGTTTCAGAAGGACCAATGCTGTCATGGTCTGTTGAAGGTGGTAACAGTTATATCAAAATCTGTCATGTTCATGTACAAGTCTGGTTAACTACATGGAATGCAAAATGATTTGTACATTTGTATTTGTAGAACCTGTCCCTTCAGAGAAGGATGATTGAGAACATGGCCATTGCCAGGGCAAAGCAAGAAGCTGTATCCTTTTCTAATCATTTCTATGGGCCAATGAATTGTATTCCCTGCTGTTCACTGATAGGTGACAGCATTCTAGAATGTCTGTCTTCTGCTTTTCTGTGTTATCAAGTTTGTGTGGAAACAAAAGTAGGCAGAGCCAGTTGCTAGGTGTGAAATTTCTTGACAACCACTCAGTTGAAGAGGAAAATGGAGGAGAGACACAGACAGTACCAGGAAGAAGCTGCAAGGTGAGGACATCCGTAGTTTGAATTCGTTTGATTTTTACATTAATCAGTGCACTGTCCGAATCAAACATACACAAACCGAATATACAATAGTGAGTTCAAAATTTTCACAATTAAGACACCAGTTCCAAATCCAACTGAAAATATGTTGATGTGTTTTCCAGACAGTTTACTTCAGTTGATGGCCTGCCCCTACCAGAGGACCAGTGTCAGGAGCTGTATGCTCAGATAAAGGAATTCGAGGACCAGGAGGTAGCCACGGGTTTTTACTTTCATAGGAATTTAGTTAGGAATTTGTTGTGCTTGAGGCAGGTTTGTTTTCAATGGAACTTGTGATGTTTGTTTTTGAAAAAGCGAGGACATCAAGCTTTTAGTCTCTACATGCATCTACACTGTTTATTTCACAAACAGAGGCCCACTTGTTTGTGATGTGTCTATTACCAGCATGCTGACATTTTTTTTACATGTTTGTTGACTACAGCTGTGGCTAAAGGCCTGGAGAGCAAAACTGGCCGAACATTCCGAAGACCTGAAGCTTATTGAAGATTTGGTCAAGCAGATTCTGAGGTAATTTTCTCCATGAATATATTTGAGGTTTTGTATAGATTAACAGTTAATCAAAAATGAATGTGTAGGTGGAAATCATAGAGACACAGAAAGAGATGCTAGCAGATATGACTATACAATGTAGGAGTTTGAATACAGGTTAGAATTTTATAGTGAAGAAAGTTGATTGGTAGTTTTTTCTCTTCCCTCCATGAGTGCAGTTGTCAAGAACATCCCATCACCAAGAAGATGCAGCAGTTCCAGTTGAAACTGTACGACAGACTACATCCTCTCGTAGAGAAACTCCAACAGGAGCCGGAGAAGGTCACTGTTCCTTACATAGAAGACTTGACTGACCTTGAACATTATGGATCAAGGTCGACTGAACAGTTGTCATCAAGTCAAGAAGAAGACTCTTTGAATGCTGTTGTTGAAGACAAGTCTGACACAGATGAAGGTCCTACACAGTCAGAAAGAAAAACATCTGAAGAAGGACCTGGAGATATTGCATCTACAGGTGAACAAAGTTCACTCTACGAGCAAAATGCTTCAGATCAAGCATTGGAATCTTCGGATGAAACAGTTGACAAAACAGGTACAGAAGGTCCAGGGGATTTCTCTGATACTGTGAGGTCAGTACAAGATGACGTAAAAAGTGCAATTCAGAAGGGAGAGGAGTTGGTTAGTAAACTAAAGGCACAGTCAAATACCCCAAGAAGGGATTCCGAGGACGATTTAGCATATCTGCAAAACAACATGGACGACATGTTTGAAGACTTGACTGAGGAGTGTGAAGATGAACCTGGGAACAAGACTGATCATGACCAATCACAAGAGGAGGATGGGGAGACTGGGACAGAGAAGCAGGAGGGGGAAAAGGAAGAAGAAGAAGTTGAGAAGATGACAGAAGATGCTGTGCAGAAACATCTCGTTCAAGTCGTAAAGGACATCAGGGAGTTTATGGGTAAGCAAGCGTTAGAAAATCTGCAACATGATGTAATTATGTCATATCGATGTAATTACTACATTTTCATATGTATTTTTTTAATAGAAGTTGGTCAGATTGTACTCACAACACTTCACTTTTTTCTCTCAGACCACGTTTTGGCCATGTTAATTGTTGGCTACCGTGAGCTGAACAGTGTCGCCGGGCGGGACCAGTGCCTAGCAACCATGGAAGAACCATTTTTCAGCCCTGTCTGGTCCTGCGTAGGTGCTCTTTTCAGGTGAGGCACAAATAGCATTGTTATACATCCGTAATGCTGCTATTCTTGTATATGTGACTTTATGTTTTTCCTTTTCTGTGTTGGAACAAAGCTTAAATTCTACAACTATTAAACCATCATGCTCACCAAAGAACATCTATTAAATTTCCTTGCTTAGAGTAATATTTTTATCATCTCTCAGGCGAGCAGACCACAAGAAAGAAGTTGTGTTGGCGCGAGCGATGACCAGGTACAGCCATGCTCTACCTGAGGAGCTGGGCGTTCCTGAGAGGCTGTGTGCTGCTAGTGTGGAGGGGACAGCGCTGTACAAACCTGCTGTCAACGAGCTCAGGAGAGTCACTTCTTGTAACAGTCCCATCAGCAAACTAGAGTGCATCGGTATGTGGAAAGCGACTTGCTGTGTCTCATTTCAGTCTCAAAATTTTTGTTGGTCATAATCATATTTTTTTTATAGACGGAAGCACAGTAAGGGTAGAGAATTGCTGTAATTGTAATTGAAAACTTAACAATGTATTCTTCCTTCCAGTCAGAACATGTAGAGCAGTTTGTGAGTGTGCTGATCATGACACCTCAGAGGGAGCAGCCCAGAAGACAGCAGCATCTATGTAAGACTATCACAGCATCTTCTTGTTGCATCTTGGGTCCTTGGCCGCATGCGAAACATAGGCCACCAATCACAGCAGATGATAGTTATGTTATATTGTAGTTATGTTATATTTGTTATACTAACACTAACCATTCTGAAATTGTTCAGTTATGACATATACATACCTCAGGGATTATTGATACTGCAATAGACGTTCTACTTAAATTCACATTTTTTTGGTGTGGTAGTCTTGTTGTACCAGACAGAATTACATTTGTCTAAGAGTTTACATTTGCCAGCTTGTACTTTCCTTTCATGGCATTGAACATTGGATTTTGTAGTAAAAAAACGCCCTGTAGTACAGGATAAAGAGTTTAAAAGAAACTACGACAGATCTATAGGTAAGTCATATAAAGGTAGGCCATTGACAGTTATGATATATGATGCATCTGTAAGGCTATAAGTCTATGTTCTTTATTCCTCAGTGGTGCAGATGACCTGCTCCCCCTACTGAGTTATGTTATACTGCAGAGTGAACTGCCACAGCTCATGTCTGAGTGCCACAGCATGGAGGTCTTCATCAGAGAAGGGTTAGTAGTGCAATCATACTGTAGTAGATTAAAACAAAGAGACGCTTGTTTGATCCACAATTATAGTTATTCAACAATTTTACCATTTGATTACAGGACTTTAAGATACCACCTGCATATGCAGATTAGTGCAGGTAAAATTGGAACTATACATGTCTGTAGGTCTGATGTCTACCTGCCTGAAAATAAGTACATGTACCATGTATCTTGCACTGCACAGATATATATATATATCTGAAATCTTGTATTTTCTTCTCCATAGATATCTGCTTGGTGAGGAAGGATACTGTCTCACTACACTACAGACTGCACTTGACTATGTGGCGTCACTGGCAAAGTCATAGTCATACACACTTTCAAAGAGCTTGTAAATACCTAAGTACCAAGTGGAACATTCATTCCTGAAGGTTTTTAAAACCACATTTTTTACATCTCAACATCTCTTAGAAATATCTGCTGACAGTGCAATATGCTTTTCCAAAGTTATTTTACCAATGTAATGTTAGTCATTGATATGCTGAAATAAGGTCCTGAAATAAGGTCCTTAAAAGTGATCTGTATTATTTGTTTTGAATGCCTTACTGCTATAATTCATATATAATAGCACTGTTATCTTTCCAATTTTTATGTTACTGCTTGAAATGGACAAAACACACTAAAACAGTAAAATATATATAAACACTGTTTTTCTCATCAGTACTCTACATTGTAGTGTAGCAAATATTTACACATGTTCCTTACAATTACATTGTATTCACATGGAGTTCTCCAAAGTGTTTCTAACACAGCAATGGACAGTGGCAAGCCATTTTCCGTGAAGTACACATGAGACCATGTTGCATACAATTATAAAGGATCCTGCAATCTGAGAATATTATATTGTAATCTAGAAGTAATTTATGATGTATGTAAAACAATTGGCAGGAAAGCTATTGAGACCATTAAATTCTGTGAGCAAATTGAATACAAATCAGATTTCTTGACTTGGAGAGACTCTTAGTAGTAATATGATGGTTTCACACAATGCTGAATCCTGTGATTACCATTTGAGCAAAATCCATTAACATTCATAAAAAACAGCTAGATAACTACCAAACAAAATCTTAACAAACACTTATTACACAAAACATAATTTCACAATATCATGCATAGAGTCGTCAGCAGTAGATGAAAGATTATCCTGATCCAACAGGATGCAAACAGGCCTCTGTACTCTGTTGATGAAAATTGTCTTGAGAAAGAATGTGCGATATGTGTGCGATGTGTATATTAGCACAATGTTCATTCCTCCAAGCCAATGTCATAGTCAGGGCTGCCTGCCATCCAGGACTTCCCAAACTGTTCCTGAACTTCAGGTGGGAAGTAGCAGGTCTTGACTTCAGGCTGCTCCAACATGTGTTCCATCCACGCGGTAATCTTGGGAAATTTCTCCTTCGGAAGCTCAACTCCGCGGTCCTTCAGCATGGAGAACCGCTCGAACCACGGCCACAGGTTGTAGTCCAGGGCGCCCACCTTGTCTCCGGAGAAGAACGGTTGTGTGAGAGCGTTCTCCATGACCTGCATACCGTCCACTAGCTGCTTTGCCACAGCTGGCCACTCTTCCTTAGCCTTGGTTAAAATCAGCTTGTAGTAGAAACCAATCACCTGTAGTGAGAATAGGGACATGACGTAAACATGGCATGGTGTATTGGCCTCTTACTAGTACATGTACATGTTACAGGTCAGCAATCAAAACTCTGATTTGTACCGTAAATTTTGAAATATTTGGCTGTTTATGTTCTCAGTTTTTGCAAACCTCTCAGTAATGATAAATCATCATCGTCAAAAGATGATAGCGGCAACAATGATGATGTACCAGCATGGTACCAGAGATGTACCACAGAAACAAAAGTTGTACCTTTGCATCCCACAGGGCCAGAACCATGCTCTGCTGTGCCTTCTCCAGAGGGTCGCTGGGAGTGATACATTTATCAGGGTAGATCCCATCCAGGTACTCGTTACATGCGAGTGACTCGTAGATAATGTTCCCATCCTTCTCCAGGACAGGGACCTTACCCAGAGGGTTCTTCTCAAGGAACCAGGCTGGCTTCTCCGACAGGACCCCAATGTTTACGGTCTCATATCTTGAGAGGTTAGAAAAGAATTGGAAAAGTTTCATTCTTGGATTTCTGGAAATTAGACTTCAAACTTTCAACATGAGACTTAATAAGTCCAAGAATTGCCAAGGTATCAGCTCAATCATTATGTGTTGGCAGGAATTTGAAAGATTCCATGACAAACCATTTTCACAAAATTAAAAGAAAATGGAATTAAGTTCAAACTCTACAATTATGGATTCTAATAGATAAACTTTCATTCAAAAATTGAATTGGTTGAAAATGTTGTCATCAGATACAGTAATTTAAAGTTTAAGGAAAAGCTGATATTATAACACAGTTTTGTTATCATCCTTTACAAGTGGTTTTCACAGTAGGTTTATTCGTGTTACTAGATTCCAAGTTACTCACTCTATTTCCTTGGCGGCCAGGAACAGACGTGTCCGCTGTGCGTACGGACAGAACCTCATACTGTACAGACGGAGTTTGCCTGGTCCGGGGGGAGGGGGGCAGGTGGAGCCTGGAAAGACAGGTATCGATATTAACAACATACATTTTGTACATGTATCACAGGGGAGGTATGAGGAGTGTGGAGGGATACATTGTCGATCCCTTTCGGTTGGGGACGTAAAGCTAGCAGCCCCCGTGTACAGAGGAGCTTCACGCAGAAGTTTACACCTCAGCCCTTGCACGTAATTTAAGAACCCAACACACTTTAAGGTTCTAGTGTCGAGAAAAGAACGTGACCCTCTGATATGGCTGGGGTGACGTTTAGTTAGCCCTGTGTGCTTGACAGTCGTCACAAGTGAAACCGGACAGCACAACTGCTAACTCTCGTGAATAAGCCGCTAATGCTTTAATTAAAGTACATGTACACGTATGACTGCTTTTTAATAGTTCGACAACAGAGTCCTGCACAGACATAACATAACGTTATATAGCCTGTACAAATGGCAGGCTGCTTGGAAAATATTAGTACTACTGACCTGGTTTGAAGGCCTTTTGTGTAAGAGTCGGCATGGTGCTAACAGGTGTGTTGAAAACAGCCGTGGATATGGTGTGAAGTGAAAATTATCGTCTGAGGGCTAGCACTGGGACACCTCACAATGACAAGGCAGTTTGGCTCACGGCCGACTGTCTCACCTGTATCACGTGACCCAATGATTACAAAGCACATTCCGTCCGTCATACCCCAATGCCAACACCCCAAACAAGACACAGTTTGCTCGCTTTGGATAGGTTTGCACTGTCAATATACTTGCAAACGAAGAAAAAGGCCCTCACCAAAATTTCTCGATTCAAAATGTTACTGAACAAATAAATTCTCCATATCTTTTTAGCTCCCAAATACTTAAGTTTTCACGATTTACCAAATTAATGGGATAACCTTTTGTGTACACTCTCAGAGGCAACAGACTGGTTGAACATTCATCTACAATTGACTTCATAAAGTGAAGATAAGGCCACAGCAAGTAAATTTTATGAATGGCATTTTCTGAAGACTCCAAATCTAATGCGAGAGGGCGAAAAAAAAGGCGAAAACTAATGCGCACGTTGATGTCATCCATAAATATTATTTGCTGTGGCCTAAAAATGACACAGAAACTCAAATGTAGGATTTCAGCTTGATTTGCTACAAATAATGACAACAGCAAAGTCGTTTAGACCATGTCAGTCCATCATATAATTCGGTCATGTTTTACAAATTGCTCATCAGTAAAAAGTGGTTGTACTACGGTAGTAGCAGTAGTGCTGCAATGACTTGACACATGATGTAGTATCATTTCATGCAAATGTTATTTTTAAAGTCATAACAACATCAAGACATCACTTTTTGCTGTTTACACAATTTGCTTTCCATCAATTCATTTAGATATTCAACCTGTCAATTAAGTCAACCTGTTCCTGAATGGCTCTGAGTATCTGAATGTTTTTCAGCCAATTTAGTGGCGAAGCTTTTGTGAACTATAGGATGTTTTTTCTCTGTCATATAAAAAATAGATAGATATTTTTATATGAAAATATACATATTTCTTAAAAGACCTTATTGGCCCAATATATACAGTACTTTGATTTCTTAAAAGTCCCAGACTTGTTTCCTTCTGTTCCGATGATCCTTACACCCTCTCCTGGTTGTCCAGCCACATCGTGAGTTCGCTAGCTACCTGAGAAAGCAGCCTCCTGGTCTGAAAGTCCTGGTACTGGCGGTAGGAGCTGCAGAAGGTGACGTCGCTGGGAGTGACGCCCTTCTGGCAGGCCGACAGCTTCTTGCCGTCGGGCGACTCCCACGGGCAGGGATCGTCGGGGATGTAGTTGACCAGGACCCGCTCTCCTGCGACCACGTCTCGGTAGATGAGCGCCACTCTAGACAGCCGGGGGTCGCGGTACGTACCTGGTGGTGGACCCGCTGGTGCCTTTCTTTTCGGCTGGGGTCGGCAGTCGCCTTCGACCTCGTCAGCTTTCCTCTTCCGACCGCGGCTGTGACCGGTCGTGCCTTTCACGTCGCCTTCCCCCTGATGGGCAACAGTCGCCTCTCGGGGCGTCGCCACAGAGTCACGGCGATCATCGGTACGCCCAGTGGTCTCAGCAATCTGGGAAGCGGTTGCTAGGGAGACAAAATGGATAAAGTCGGACGAGTTGGACGATAACGGTAACTTCAGATGAGACAATAGAATCATACATACTCAGAAAGATAGTTGAGATGAAATAAACGGATCAGTGGGGAACGTGGGAGATGATATTGTGAAATTACCTCAGTGTCCGAATGTTAGTGACTGTGAACGTCACGCATGACTAACCATGACTCTCGGTGTGATCCACTTCCACACCGACTGGTTCAGCAAACCAGGACGCCATGACGCTCCAGATGCCAGGACGCTCCTGACGGACAGACGATCTCTCCTTCCCGCCATCACCCTGGCCTACAGCTCGCGTCTTTGTCTCCATTTATCCGGAAAATGTGTAGGAAAGCTGGTGAAAAGTGTCAAGTTGACTTCGCTACACAAGGTCGCGTTCGAATTTGACAACATGCAGGCGCCGCGTCCCATCTGTGACGTCTTGGCGAGAACATTCGAACAGAGGTTCGTTTTGGAGTAAACAACTTTACTCGCGATCGCGCTTGTACAGACTTTGGGACATTTTGTCTTATTTAAATTTGTCGGCGATCAGACAGATTTCAAGCAAATGCCAATGCTCGTAGTAGCCTTAGATAACAGCAGGCATGGCACATTCTGCACGGAATTTCTGTAGTCAGGCAGTCGCGAGTTTCCCTGTGAAGTTGTTTTCTCCAAAACGAACCTCTGTTCGAATGTTCTCTCCAAGACGTCACAAATGGGACGCGGCGCCTGCGTGTTGTCAAATTCGAACGCGACCTTGTGTAGCGAAGTCAACTTGACACTCTTCACCAACTTTCCCCACACATTTCCCGGAGAAATGGAGACAAAGACGCATCTTGTAGGCCAGGGTGATGGCAGGAAGGAGAGATCGTCTGTCTGTCAGGAGCGTCCTGGCATCTGGAGCGTCATGGCGTCCTGGTTTGCTGAACCAGTCGGTGTGGAAGTGGATCACACCGAGAGTCATGGTTAGTCATGCGTGACGTTCACAGTCACTAACATTCGGACACTGAGGTAATTTCACAATATCATCTCCCACGTTCCCCACTGATCCATTTATTTCCGCTTAACTACCTTTCTAAGTATGTATGATTCTATTGTCTCATCTGAAGTTACCGTTATCGTCCAACTCGTCCGACTTTATCCATTTTGTCTCCCTAGCAACCGCTTCCCAGATTGCTGAGACCACTGGGCGTACCGATGATCGCCGTGACTCTGTGGCGACGCCCCGAGAGGCGACTGTTGCCCATCAGGGGGAAGGCGACGTGAAAGGCACGGCCGGTCACAGCCGCGGTCGGGCTGTCCGTCGAGCCGCTAGCTCTTCCCGCAGAGCCAAGCGGTCAGCGTCTGAGAAGACGACTGCTGGTGCATCGAATGCCCGTCGGGAGCGACAGAAGAGGAAAGCTGACGAGGTCGAAGGCAACTGCCGACCCCAGCCGAAGAGAAAGGCACCAGCGGGTCCACCGCCAGTTACGTACCGCGATCCCCGCCTGTCTAGAGTGGCGCGCATCTACCGAGACGTGGTCGCAGGAGAGCGGGTCCTGATCAACTACATCCCCGACGACCCTTGCCCGTGGGAGTCGCCCGACGGCAAGAAGCTGTCGGCCTGCCAGAAGGGCGTCACTCCCAGCGACGTCACCTTCTGCAGCTCCTACCGCCAGTACCAGGACTTTCAGACCAGGAGGCTGCTTTCTCAGGTAGCTAGCGAACTCACGATGTGGCTGGACAACCAGGAGAGGGTGTAAGGTCCATCCGAAACAAGTTGGGACTTTTTAAGAATGTCCTGAAATCATTGTATTAGGCCAATAAGGCCTTTTAAGAAATAATATATTTTCATATAGAAGTAAGTATATCTATTTTTATATATCAATGAGAAAAAAAACATCCTCATGGCTCACAAATGTTATGTCACTTAATTGGCAGGAACCATTCAGAAGGGAAAAAAGAGTCATCTAGGAGCAGGTTGAAGTTTTATCAAAATGAATTTGATGACTTTTTAAACCATTCGCATGGAATAATACCAGTACTATACCATGTATCAAGTCATTGCAATATTATTACTACCACCACCAATATCTATTTTTATACGTCTGAACATCTTGTTTATTAAAAAAAAACTACTATGGCAATATATTCTATGGCAATATACTCTATTTATACTGAGCCATTGAAAAGCACAAATATATGTGCGAAAGATGTGAGTTGTGTTTTTGTAAATCATTATTGTTTTGTCTGTATTGATGGTCAAGTTGTAAAACATAAATGACCTAAAATATTAAGTATGACAATCACTCGGAGTCTCCAGGGAATTTTTTTCTCTGTCGTGTTTTTCAATAAAGCATGTAAACCTGTATCACATAGAACACATTTATTTTCAATTGAATTAGATTTACATAGTCCACATAACTGCAATCCATGTCTTATGAAACATCATGATCTTTGTCAATGTTCAAACATTTATATCTTTACATTCAAATCACACGTTTTCAAAGAAAATGGGAGAAGGATTCAAAGCTTCCAGTCTAAAAACTGGTTAAAAGATTCAGACGTAAGTTTGTAATTAACAACAATATAATGTAATCATTACTGCAACATTCAATCTTTGGAGTTCAATAGCAGCAGCATATTAGATATAACCAAGGAGGTTTAAAATCACCTTGATATCACATATGGCAGATTTTGCTTCTGCCTTTGAAAATTAAGTTTTTCAGTTGAGAGGGATGCATGACAGTCGGCACCGTGCGACATATTAGCCTCTTTCGCGGACTTGTAAGGCGGTGGCGTTATTCATTTTCTTGGGGAGCGACGCGAGAGGCGGTTTCGCCGCCTAACAGGTCTGCTTGCACTCGGCGACCGTCTCTCCCCGGCAAAATCCCTCGGCGACAAAACCGTCCCTCTGCGGCATAGCTCGCCTTGCTCACCGAAAAAAAAATATCACCGCCGCCGCCTCACACTTCTGCGAAGGAGGCTAGTGCAATGTGTTCATTCCTCCAAGCCAACGTCGTAGTCGGGGCTGCCTGCCATCCAGGACTTCCCGAACTCATGGTGAATTTCCGGCGGGAAGTAGCAGGCCTTGACTGCCGGCTGCTCCATCATGCGCTCCATCCACGCCGTCAGCTTGGGGAACTTGTCCACGGACAGCTCGACGCCGCGGCCCTTCAGCATGCAGACCCGCTCGAACCACGGCCACAGGTTGTAGTCCAGGGCGCCCACCTTAAATATAGCATTTTCGTTATTTTTCGGCATAAGATTGCATTTCGTTGCCTTATGTGTAATATTTTTTTACAGTTGCATTCTTATTTATTTGTTTATGCTTCGTACGTTAATTAAACCTTTGTTTATCTTCCCCCCGCATATCCTCATTTGTTATGCTCATACTACTAGTACTCTCCGTTTGTATATGTTCATGATAATTTGACTTCATGCTCATTTTACTTTTTATATGGAAATAAAACAAACAGAACAAACAGACCTTGTCGCCGGAGAAGAACGGTTTTGCCAGCGCGTTCTCGATGTACTCCAGGCCGTCCAGAAACTGTTTGGTCAGCGCTTCACGCTCGTCTTCCTTCGCCGTCACCAACTTGTAGTAGAAACCGATCACCTGTGGTGGGAATAATCAGGATGTAGGCTGTTATGTACCAGGCAACACCGTACCATTTCACCGGATTTTTGTTGAATTTGAGAAAGAATCAGTAGTAACGCCGTAAATTTGATCAAAGAGCTTCAATTCACTGAGTTTCTTGCTTTGATTGAGAGGCTAAGACAAAATTCCCTCCGGTGCACGCTGGCCTTGGTGCTGAAGGTCTAGCCTGCGTAAGTCCACGGTCCTGGCAGTCTGGATTCCAGGTTAGAACTTTGAACTCTTCAAGCAGAAATTGATGGGAAAATGATACAGATTTGATACAGAATACAGCAGATACATGTACTATAATTACGTGTTACTATTTGAGTGGCTAAGGAAATTAGACATTTCTGGTAGCATTGATAGCAGCAGCCTTGTCAGCTTGCAAAACACACCTTTGCATCCCACAGGGCCAGAACCATGCTCTGTCGTGCCTTCTCCAGAGGGTCGCTGGGAGTGATGCATTTGTCAGGGTAGATCCCGTCCAGGTACTCGTTACAGACCAGAGACTCGTACACGATATCTCCGTCCTTCTCCAGCACGGGGACCTTACCGATCGGGGTCTTCTCAAACAGCCACTCCGGTTTCTCCTTCAGGTGAATGTTGATGGTTTCGAACCTTGGAATATCGAAAAAAAGTTTCATTATAAATTGGATTCAACAATGCAATCTATGTGCGATTACGTTGATGAAGGTTATACATCTAGGTAAACAATATTCAAGAGATAGATACTCATTTAAACCCTACTACTGGATAAATTACGGAGATTACGTTCAGACAGTTTCGAGTGACATCCGTCACTCTCAGTGTCAATAAAAAATGTCATTCTTATAATAATAATGACGCCGCGTCGTTTTAGTGACGCTGAAGAAGTCCAAATAATCTTTGAATACGTGCAAGATTGTGGAGTCGTTTTGAAAGAAAACCTTCAACTGAAGGACTGTAGTTTAAATTTTACAGAACATCATCTATGGCTCTTTATACTTTTTTCTACATTATCTAAAACTATCCACGTGTTCACATTGTTGTGATTTGTCTAGCACAAAATCTACCGTGAGTTACAAATAATTGGTGACTCACTCTATTCCCTTGGCGGCCAGGAACAGACGTGTCCGCTGTGCGTACGGACAAAGTCGCATACTGTACAGACGGAGTTTGCCTTTTTCAGGAGGAGGGGGGCAGGCGGAGCCTGAAAGGGCATAAATTGCATATTACTATGTTTGTCTTCAACCAAGTAAACCAAAACCACAAAATCATGTAAATACATCCTCCTCCTCTTGCGATATCTTGCATGCTTGAAGTTCATAATAAAAAACACGGCACGCCTGCATTTCCATGAATAGCCTAAACCATTTCTTTCCCTGCAGAAAAGAGGTACTAGCCACTAAAAATACGGAAGGGGGATTATACTCAAACATTTGAAACAAGGATCATCAATCATTGGTAGTACGACAATTTTCCAAACGCTGCTTTGAAACTTTTTTTCAGACTGCTGCTTAAAGTCACATGGTGCACGTTTTAGAAGGGGCCTTGATATTTCCACCTTGTTTCAAAGAGTTAGCTCCAGTTTAGGAAACTGCTTGATCACTTTATGTCAGCCCACGGACACCGGTTTAGCCGACTTTCCATACCATGGCAGCCAAGCTTATGTTTGGCTCAATGCCAAAGTACAAAAGGCGTGTGATCTTGACACCAAGTTTACACTACGCAATTATGCAACGTGATAGCCTTAATTGCATGCGGTGTTACACAACAGCCACAACTTGAACACCTGAAGAACCATGTCTTGCCAAGTAGTAGTTTAAGGTTTTTTTTCGCTCGAGCTAAATCCTGTCAAGAAGAATTTTCCCCCGCTGTAAATTAAATTTTTCTTTCACATCTGACCCTAACCTACTAACCCGGTATGCAAATAGGGTGGCACCCAGGCTAACCCTTAACAAGAGGGCCTGCAAGGGGGGGTAGTGATTACGAATTACGCAAAATTTTCGCCGCCTATTACGAATTACGTTAAAGTCTCAGAGCTGATTACGACTTTACGATTTGCGGCTAATGTCCAATTACGAATTACGTTGATTTTTGCGGAGGCTGCCTACGAATTACGAAGTCTAAAACGGCCTGATTACGCCTTACGAAAAAGGGCTTGCAGGCCCTCTAACAACCCTCACATAACCGCAATCCTTTCTGTAAGCAAATTTTCACTATAGAATCACGGAAATTTGGTCAACATAAAGAAGGCCAGACAGACTTAACTACTAAAGATTCCATTCGAAGTTTAGGATTCGGCTAATTTTTGACGTGTTTTTAGGTGTTTTTATCGGGCTGTCTTTTTTGTACCGGTATCTTCTTATACGGGCCAATTTGGCACTGTCTTGCAGATACTGTATTGCAGCCACAAAAAGATCTGGTTTTGAGACTTAAAGTCACCTACACAAACTCACCCGTCTTCATGGCCTTTTGAGACGGCATGACTTCAGCAGGTGCGGCGATCTTAAGACGGCAAAGCGGACAGACGATGTCTTCACGACTGAGCGCGTTACTGAACACCTGTTGTATGACTCAGCAAACCGCGTGTGACCTTTGAACTTTTCAGGCTATCGACCGTGTGGACTCTGACCCATTCAGTCCCTTTCACTGTCTGAAATCTCCAAGGAGACAGTGCTGGCTTGTCGCGTCTGTCTGGCATTGGAATTTAGCATTTATAAGTCAATTATTAACAAAGAAACTAGCATGAAAGTTCATCTGAGTTGGCAAAATAGAACTGTTTGTTCTTGAATTTTCTTCAGTTGGAGAACAGTTTAATTCTCATTAGCAAAGAAACTTTGAAAATGTGACAATCATTCCATTTTAACATCTGACACACAATGCCTCGTTGAATTGAATACAACAATAAATACCAACCTGCAATGTGATCAACTTTCATATAGCTTTAATCAATCACTTGGTTGTTATATACAGTACTGTACATGTATGTACAAATGTCAAGCACATACAGGGAGTCCTAATATTAGGCATTATTGGTTTAGGTACTAGTAATAAGAAAATATTATCTAGCATGTATATCCTAATCTAAATAGATCTAAATATCTATTCATTGTTCTAAAAAGTAATGTTTAAATAAATAGGATCATAACATCACATCTTCATGAGAAGGAGTCATTCTCATTAAAAAAAAGTCTGAAAATCAAATGCCCATACAATGCTCATTTAAATGCTGTACAAATTTTCATTATATGAATACACTAATTATAAATAACTGGTTTCTGGAAATAGAAGAGATCAATAACATGACTAATATTCACATACATTTTATATTGACATAATTCACTACCAGGAAACATTAAAAGGTTGCAGAGCAGTAACAAGGGCTTGACAAATATGTTTGGTAACTCAGATCAATATGGCAGAGAGCAGCTATAAAGTAGTATAGGGAAGACTTCAATGGCTAGTATACTTCAGGCTGGCTGAGACTGGTGGGTGCTACCAATTCACAAGGAAGACCATCTCCTGCAATCACAAAAAAAAGAAAGAAATACAGCTTAATGAAGCAAGATTGCTTGATTCGAATGCAATGTATGTTATGTTAGCAGAATGTTGTTACTTTCATGTGTATTGTTGCAAAATAAAAATTCTTGATGGGTATAGATTTCTGCAACATTTAAAAATGGGAGATAAAACTGTAACTTTATGAGTTTTTGAGTTTCTACTAACCAGACCTTGACAAACATGGTTCGATATTACAGAAAGCTGGAAAAAAGCAGATTCTTACTCCAAGCCTGCATCATAGTCAGGGTTTCCCTCCCTGAAAGTCTTCCCAAACTGAGCGTACAGCTCAGGAGACATGTGGCAGGCCTTGACTGCCGGCTCCTCAAACATGCGCTCCATCCACGCCGTCAGCCGCGGCACTCTCCTCACCGACAACTCCTCCGAACGGTTCGGCATCATGCAGAAACGCTCGAACCACGGCCACATGTTGTAGTCTAGAGCGCCGGGTCGGCTGCCGCCAAAGAACGGCTGTGTCAGGGCTTTTTCAAGGTGCTGCAGGCCGAACCCAAGCTTCTTGGACACAGCTGAAAACTCATCCTCGTGACTTGCCTTGAGATAGCTGTAGAATTGGCCGATGACCTGAAGTTTGTGTCAAGAAAATAAAAACATATAAAGGAACATATACACATAAAGGAAATTCAGTGTGTTAAGTAGGTATATTTTTTCTACTAATAAGTTACTTTGGTTTTGTATGACTATCAAGTTATCATATGAACCTTTCAAAAATGCTAGTAGGCGATACGCTTCCCCTGATGAAATGAAATAGTAAACAAACAAACAAACAAACTTACCATTTGATCAAAAACTGACAGAAGCATATTCTGTTGCATCTTTTCCATGGGGTCACTTGGAGTGAGACAGTTTTCTGGGTAGATGTGATCCAGGTACTTGTTACAGACCAGAGACTCGAACACAATCTCTCCATCTTTCTCCAATACAGGTACCTTGCCTACCGGATTCTTCTCAATCACAAACCACTTCGGCTTATATTTCAGGTTTATGTTGATGGTCTCATGTCTAGTCAAGTCAGGAAAATAGAGAAAGATTTCAGGAAGATTGACAAGAAAGACAGTCACACAAATTATACCCACTGTCTAATGAAGTATCTAACTGGATACCTAGGTCGATAATGGATCACCTACGGATTAATTAATTAACTAAAGTGTGGAAACAATGCTACAATATCTACTCTACTGGACGTGTGACATTATGTCAGATCATGTGACATTATGTCAGATTGGTCTACCTATTTACCGGAATACACTGGAATATACATAACGGAGGGTGAAATCTACCGGAATACACTTAGTGCTTTGATGAGTTATAATACCCCTGGTTGCTATATTTCAGCATAAGATAATGTATACTGTAAGGCCTGATTTCAGGAACCATGGTTTGCACTGCAGCATAGTCAAGTTCGCTTGTATTTTGGTGACTCACTCAATTCCCTTGGCGGCCAGGAACAGACGTGTCCGCTGTGCGTACGGACAGAACCTCATACTGTACAGACGGAGTTTGCCTGGTCCGGGGGGAGGGGGGCAGGTGGAGCCTGGAAAGACAGACATCACAAAATTTATCATCAAATTTTAAGAAGAGATGAAATTCAACTTGTTATGACCTGCCAGTGACAGTGACCACTCAAAAACAAAACATATGCAATTTTGTAACTTGTCTTTCCCTAAACTGCAACCTACCTCTCTTCATGGCCCTTTCGGACTGCATATTTGCCACAGTTTGTGAATATCTAGTGCAAACTACACTAAGTCTAACCGGGACTCTGAACTTACTGACAAACATGTGTGTTCGCAGTCTTTCGGTCAATGACCCCTAACTTTGACCTCATGGGTCACGCGACCTGCGCGCTGGCGACATTCCTGGCTGAGAAATTTTGTGGCGGGAGGTTCGGTCGTGTCGGCGACTTTCGGACGCGTTTACTCAAGATTTGAATAGATTTTCGCGGAAAGTATCGACGGACTGAAAGAATGGTCGTACTCCGAGCTAAGTGTATCGTGGCAGGTGATTCGACAGTGGGGAAAAGCGCGCTAGTTCAGGTTAGTTCCGTTGTGTTGTTGTGACACGGCTCTTGCCCCCCTCCCCCAAAAAGCTTGCCTGGTAACCATGGTGATTTCAGCCATGATGAGACCTTTGCTTGTGACACAGAGGAGATGATAGATATCGGTCAAGTTTGACAAAGTATAGAATCATATCTTGCAGTTGTTGTTGATATTTTTAATAGAACTTTCCAAAACTGTACAGAACCTCAAAATTATAACAAGTTATATAGATAATATACATATACAGTATTTCTAGCCAAGGAAATATATAGACCATAGACCTCCTTGGTTTACCCAAGTCTCTTTGGTGATTGATATGAGTTTAAGATGTCTGATTTCTAGTTGCCATATCTATCCGTTAACACCATAGAATTTGAGCTCTGTACCTCATGACTGCCCTGTTTACAACAGACGTTCCACAGTGATGGGTCCCACTTCCCCAAGAGTTACACCATGACAGAAGGTGTGGAGGTGTGTGTGAAGTCTGTCATCATCCCCGACACCAACGACACCGTGGAGCTGCTGATCTTCGACTCTGCGGGGAAGGAGATCTTCTACGACCACGTGAAGAAGAACTGGGACCACCCGTCTGTCGTGTGCCTAGTGTTCGACCTCACCAGCGAACCATCGTTTCACAGGTGTGTTTATGTTTAGGCCACTTGATTTGTTGGTTCTCGGATTTTTTCAGAAAAAATATGAAGTGATGGGCAAAAAAAAAAACAGACCTAGGCATTGTCTGATAACCCCTAAAGCTATGATAGTTGCCATGAGGTCAACATACCAGGTTTGTTAAAAGTCAAACAATGTTAACCTTCTTATCAAACCAATGTATTAAGAGGGATAAAGGGTAAAAACCTTTTGGACCCAAATATGGGCATTTTTTAGTTGATTCAGAATCTGAATCCTAATACATGTAGTTTAAAACAATTATTGTAACACTGGCCTGTTTTTGTCCCTAGTTGCTCCAAATGGCTGGAAAGGATTCGCTCCCAGAAGCCAGAAATTGTTCTACCCGGCGTCCTGATTGGCAACAAACTCGACCTAGAGCAGCGGAGAACGGTCACGCCGAAGTTCCCCACGGAATTCGCCTCTTCCCACGGTCTGGAGTACTTTGAGTGCTCGGCCAAGGAACAACAGAACGTAGAGGCTCCGTTTTACTACCTAGCACAAGAGTTTTACAAAATGTATCAGATGAAAGCTGAGGCTATCTCAAGCATGGCAATGTAAACTGTTTTAGAGACTAGATTTGTACAGTTACATTCTGAGTCAAATCAGAAAATAATTCAAATTGATGAAATAGTACAAAGGAGAAAAGTTGAAACTTTCAAATTGAAATCTTATTGTATATTTGTGTGCAAAAATTTAGTTAGGAAGAAATGTCATGATACTTAAAAAAGTGCTTTGCAGATACTTTTGTGCACGTGGTACATGTAGAAGTCTAGCCTCTACTTGGCATGAAGAAGTTTGAACACTAACATTCCACTTTCAATGTGTAAATATTCTTGATAAGATTAAAGATGATAATACTCTTGCATTGCAGACTTGTCTTTTTGACATACTTGAGGCACAGGAAGTTAACTTTATGGATCACATTTCTTGGAGATCCCAAATATTATTTTAGAAAAATACAACAAACAAAAGATGTCTAGAAGTCAACAACAGTCCATAAAATATGGAGTCTGACTTTAATCAAACTGTTCTGGAGAATTTTGAAAATTTACAGTCACAAGACAGTGAAGACATTGTCCTTTCATTGCCCTTCCATGTAACACATGTATATGTAACTAATGTCTATGAGGAAAAAATACATCAAAACAGCAGAATTTGCACTTCAAAATCTGTTACATGAGATTCACAACATTCAACAATTCGGGTAAAAAAAAATACAGTGATTATTATTAACTTATAAGCAGCAAAATACATGTACATAGGGTGTTGCATAGTAAATATATGTTTATGTCATGTATGGTGAACAAATACTACAACTAAGATAGATGGTGTCACACACCTATTTTTACACAACACGCATAAATAGCTGAATACACAGAAGTGTATACGGTCATACATGCTAAGCAGGAAATGTAACATAATTTATATTTCACGGTATTTGCCTGGTTTAAGAGAATGAAATGAAATATGGACCTATTTAACCATCAGCAGCATTAAAAATAGAACTTAAATTACACCGTAACTTATAGAACTGGAAGAAAATGTGATGAAGGCTAAATTTCACTTTTGTCTTTTTACAAGCAAAGAGGAGCTTTTAAGCTTTTAAGTGTAAATTAAAATTTACACTGTGCTAGTAACATGGACGATAGAAATGGATTATTGGCAAAACGCCTTACATCCCACAAAATCTCCTCTATACAAAATACAAACATGGAAATTGTATGGCTGGAATGGAAAACTTTCGGATCACAAATGTGGCTTTACTAATAATCAAGTGTGAACCTGCACACAGTGAAAAAAAATCACTTGGTTTGACAATCAAGATTGTCATCAGGACTTACAAACTAAACTACATGTAATTTCATATACACAAATGTGCTTTGACATACAGGTGTCTATCAGGAAGTAATTGGATGAACAAGATGTATTGCAACTTTATACTTCAAATAATAGACTTGCAATACTTGAAAGAACACTAATAATACATCATCTTGAATAAATGATTGCATTTACCACTCATTTGATTGATTTCAATTAAAAGTCTTAGGAGTTAATTTTTTGGAATGTCTTACATTTACAATTCTAATAGCTGCCTACAGATACAAACTCTTGTCCTTAAAAGGGGATACAATTCTAAATACCGGTATATATTGACAATCCAAAACTTTCAATAAAAATGAGGATTGAAAACATTCACTGACTATAATAGTTCATTACAAAGAGACTTTATATTTTACCATTTTGGCTTCATTTGGCAGCTGAATTGGTTTCTATTCATCATTATGGTCATGGAAATGTCTTTAGAGCTTGCACTTCCGGCACATATTTTTGCCACTTGCTATAGCTGTAATGTCTGGCAAGACTATGAAAGATGTGACTTTAATTGATGTTGGCAAGACTTCAACTCTATAGCAATGGACATCAACACAGTTCTATTTGCACAGTGAAGTCGACACATTTCCAAACACTGACGACATATTGAAGCACTTTGGAATGAACATAAATGTTACTATTAAGTACACTACATCCCACAGACCAAAACAGTTCCTGAGACAAGGTACATTCAGTTTCTCTTCTTTTTTTCTGCCCACAACCCCAATATTTGGTGAAAACTGCAAAACTGTAAGTAGAATTGATCTAGTCCCAAAACTGGAAAGTTGCTAAGTTGCTGTAGATTTGAGGGAAACTGTTTCATCTGTCACTTTCAGACGACAACAGGTGATGATCTGAGTCTGATCCAAAAGCTGCCTCGAAGTCTCTGTTTTTCTTGCGTGATGAAGGCTTGAGAGTTTCCCTCATCCTTCTGTTGTCGGCTGTGGCTGTCTGCCACACCGTCTCCAGCTGCCTGTCCAGACGCCTGGAGGGGAAATTGTAATATTCAATCAGGCACCATTTTTCTCTCGCTTTAATAAATAATTTAGTGCCTTAGACTTTTCAGCTGGATAAGAATTTCATAGTCAAGTTTTCTACCCTGGATGACTAACTCTTCACAAACATATATTTAACTTGGTTCGCAAGTAAAAAATTTACAACTTCTAAAAAGATTCAGTGGATGAAGAGTGGCCGTTGTTCACATATGTTGTAAAAGATTTGCAATATGACAGAATGATACTAGTATTCCATGGTCAGAAACTTGTACAAGTTGTTAAGATGAGACAAAAGTTAAGGCATACTTTTTGTCAGCTATGATGGAGTCCACCTGATCCTGTTTGTCCTGTAGCAGCTGCTGAAGGTGTCGGATTTCCCGCTGGTACTCCTGGCGCTGGCTGTTAAAATCATCCGTCTGTTCACGTAACCTACAGAGAGACACAGAGGCAGATTGTCTTAGACTGTAGCTGCTTTTGCGAAGCAGAAAATTATCACAATTTGAACGACATCCATTTCATATAAAGTTTGACAACGAATTGTCAGTACCAATCCCCATTATTATTCAGTCTGCAACTTACCTGTCTAGTACAGAACCAAGCTTGTCCGTTGTTTTGGACTTGTATTGCTGTTGGACAGAGAAAGAGGAAATACTGTGAAACACCTTGGCTCAGTTGTCAGGTCTTCAGCAACATATGTTTATAATATTTCTATATCATGCAAGAATGGCAAGTTGGTTTTGGTTATACATTGTACTACAGAGAATAAGTGCAGTTTAAAGTCTAAAACTGACACTCTGTGTCCTGACCTTCATTCTCTCCTCTAGTCTCCCCATGGTGAATTTTTCCTGCAGCACCTGGTCAACTGCTCTCTGGGCCTGCTCCTGTTGGGCCTGAGCCTACAGGATGGAAGAAAACAGCATAACATCAGTAGCAGCACCACATAGCAATCTACAAAAGAAATACAGCACTGCCTTTTGCTGCAGTCATGCTCTGTTGATGTTAAGTGATGTAACTTGCTGTTGCTACTTACAATTTTTGCTAAGGAGTCCCTTTCATGGACCGTTTGCTCAGCCTGAAAAAAAAAAAGAATTAAATTTCAATAAAGGAACATGATACAGCGAAAGAAACTTCAGTTCTTTAATATAATGTTGACACCTAGAGTTGACACAACAAAGTATATTTTGGATCCATACAACACTGACCACTTTCAGCACACTGGACAGGTAATGTTGGGCGTCGGCCTCCTTTGCCACTGCAAACTCCACCTGCCTCTGCATCAGCACCAGTTTCTGTTGGGCTTTCCTGGAATCAGGAACATTTGAGTTATTATTGATGCAGATACATGCAGATCAAATCTTAAATACATCTGAGGCCAATAGATGATGATGATGTCTCAAAACTCTGAGCCTTTCTTTCAGTCGGGAAAAGATCAATATACACTAATGCAAACTCCTAAACCTCAAAAACTGGATCACTGGATAACTTTAAACAATTTTTAGAGTTAGATGTTCAAAGGTTAGGTGTAACAAGTCATTTGGTGTAACATAGCCAGCTGCCGCTGCACCACATGCCTGCGAAGCTGGTGTGTTACGCCGAGGGGCAGTTATACTGGCTATATAGATACAGAATATATACCAATAATTCTCCTTCTCTTATCATGGTCCACTCACCTCAGAGCTTTCCCCAAGGCCTGAATCTCGCCCTCTAGCTGTTTGTTGTTGGCCTGCAGGTCAGTGTTCTGGATGGCAAGGCTCTTCTTCTCTGTCTGGACGGACTGATGGAACAAGATGAGATGCTGATTTTCTTTAAAAATGATTGGATAACCTTGTTACAACACTTTCATTCACCTTCTGGTTCTGCACAACAGAAATTTCTCTAAAAATGTTTAAGATTATCCATAATGGGGGTTTAACAATATTCTTAATTATTGTTATCATTATGATCTGAAAGGGGTAATTATGTACTAAGAAATGACCCTTACCTGTAGTCTAGATAGAACATTTTCCATATCTCCTTCCTGTTTGTGTCTCATGTCTTGGAGTGTGCTGAAAAATGATTCAGAAGATCTCAGACATAGTTCCAGACAATAACCATTTATTGAGTAGATTTATCATGTTTCACTGTTCTTTTATCCATGTCATTTGCATTTAGCCTAACTCATTAAACGTATTCTACACCTAAGAGTGCTAAGACTGCAGGCTTGGACCTATTTACATGGACACAGACCTTTTAGAGGCCAAGGAAACAGCATGGGACTGGCTGGACAGGTACAGCAAAAAGCTATGACGATGATGATTGCTAAGACTTACTTCTTAAACTCTGCCACCTCCTCAGCGTGTCTCTGGATGGGCATCTGCTGCTGGCTCTCCTCCTCCAGGTGCTCGTACCTGCGCCGCAGCTGGTTGAACTTGCCCTTCAGCTGCGACAGCTGCGACTCCGCCTCACCCTTCTCCGACTCCACCTGCATCAGTCTCTTGGACAACTTGGACACTGGGGGAAAAAATCAGCCAACTTATTCCTAACAAATGTGCAGTACTTATATATGTATGTAATAAAGATATTACATTTAATATGATTTATAGGTAACTCTTTCTCCTACTCTTATTCTTTTACTCGAACCAGCGAGAGCCACAGGCGCCAAACCAAATCTTGGACATTAAAAAACAGACCTTTGAGCATACGTGGTGGTTCTTTGGAACCTCCATTCCTATGGGCATGCCTGTCCCAGTTTCCTGTCCTACTCACCCTCCTGTATGTGTCTCCTGTGTGTGTCTGCTCCCTTCTCCTGTTGTACCTCCAGCTGCTGTAGAAGGACCTGGTTCTCCTCCAGGACTGACCTGGCCTGCTCCTGTAGCCGGTACCTATATATGATAAGGTACACTTTTAATATGGCTGACAAGGCCTCATTTGTTTGTTTCAGCTTGAGATCACAAGGGAAGAGATAAGGGTCAGACAAAATATGTTAATAACAAAGATACAGGTTACATGATTGCAGTCCTAACAAATTCATAAACATAAAGTCCTCAACAAAAGCATTCCAAAATGCGTCCCAAATTTGGAGAGAAAGATGCATTTAGGATGTCTACCTACCACTCGTCCATGTTGACTGGTACGGAGGCGTCAGAGTCGTGCAGCTGTTTGTGGAGGGCCTGGTTCTCAGCCAGGATCTCCTCAACACGGGTCTTAAAGTCATTCAGCTCCTCCTGAGGAAAGAAAAATCATTCTACACATTTGTATGTCAAAAGACAATGTCGAATCAGTCAAGGAACAATACTGTCATGCTTCTGTTTAAAACAACATCTTCTACTTCCCTACTCACTTATTGAACATGCCAAAAAATGAAGCAATTTTTTCCATGTCCACTGTATGACGTGTTGTTTGTACTATAGTTAAATTTTCTTCTATCTTTCTACATGTAAACTTTATAACTTGTCAAAAGCCTCATCGGTAAGTCAGTATAACAAGTTTATATTGATACTGTACCTCGTATCTGTGTAGGGCTGCATCTCTCTCCTGTAACCTGTCATCATAAGCCAGCAGCAGGGGGGACAGGTACTTAGTGTCAACCTGGGACAGAAAACAACTCGATTCAGCTACACACAAGTCTGTGCCCATCATTACACATAAAATGGTATCTTGATATCTGTATAAAGTGAATAGAATGAACAAATAGACTAGAAAGCTAGCTGCTTGTTATTAGAAGACACAGTACATACTAACCAGCCAGGGTGGGATGGGCCCTCTAGTTGGCAAGCCTCTGGCATCCTTCCCTTCTTCCTACAAGAGAATGTAGCTTATTGTAAGGAGCTATCAAAACTATTGTACTAGTGCTGCATACAACATTACATTACAAGAAGTCATACTACAGTTCCATGCATCATACATTTTTACAATACCGGGTAAACTAATGTTAAACTGACAAAAAGATGTCTGTTGTGCAAGGAAATGAAGCTGTACTATAATTTTATTGTGACTGCCAGACTTACCCTTTGTGGGGAGGGGGGTCTGTACTTGGCCTGATATCTGCTCAGCTCTACGTTGAGTCTGTGAACAGTTCTCTTGAGTGCATCGTTCTCATGGACAACCTCCTCTGCCTGCTGCTTTATAAGGGCCAACTGTCCTGCCTCTGGGGCTGCAACAAATACACGGACTGTTATGAGATTTTCTACCTTTTTCACACAATATCAAACTGTTTGTGCGAGGTAAACAGGCCAATTCAGTGATAAATAGGTGACCTTTATTTTAAAACTGTAACTGCAGAATGTAACAATTGTGCCTTGGTTTTGAAAAGGCAAAGGCGTTGTTGAGTTACCCTGTTCCTGCAGTGATTTGGAGAGGTTCCTGAGGGAGTGGTTCTCAGCGTGCAGTTTGTCGTTGACCTCCATGACAGCCTGTTTCTCCACCTGTAGTTTCTGGTTGTGCTGCTCGGCTGCATGGAGCTGGTCCTCCAGCTGGGTCAGGGTTTCCCTCAGCTCAGCATTCTCCACTGGGCAGAAGAAACACAGCAACTGTTAACTTAGGTATCCTAGGCAATTTTATGTGGCAAAACAACAAAATATTCTGGATACTACAACAAAGGCTCTGCCCCTGGGCATTGCCAACAAATGAAAACTTCATGAGCTACTTCAAGGTCTTGGCACACAACCAGCACAAAATAGTAAGGAGTATTTGAAACAGTTTGAGAAAATCTTCAGAATATTTGGGTATCCCGTTCAACATAACACATACTGTAGTAATCTAGTAGGCCAAGCTTCTTAAAGTCCTTTGACTTTGTTTATTTTAAGAGGGTGCCCATTCCTCCAACTCAGGTCAATGCATGTAATCAAACTCTCATTATGAAAATCGTCTTGTCTCAAGATGTGACTTCAGGACATTTTTGGTTTTACCCGTAGGTCATTTTCGGTACTAACTCCTTCTTGAAGTGAACTACCAGCCAGCTCTAAGTTTCCGGCTTTGGCAGACATTACTCTCACTTAAGCTGTGCAAGACTCGTCAACACATGGCAGCTGACACGTCAACATGTGGCACCCAGACACCTCAAGACCTACCAAGCATTGTCTAACTCTAAGATAAACAATAAGACAATACTGTCCAAGCAGAGGTTAAAAAATAGGCTTCAGCTTATTTTTGACGTCTTTTTAGGCATTTGTACCAGGCTTTCTTTTTTGTACTAGCATCTTCTTTTAAATAGTAACTGTCTCACAAATGGTAACTTCCTGGCCAATTTGATACTGCTTTGCTGCCTTCAAAAGATCTGCTAGGAGACCAATGGGACCAAGTGTTTAGACTCACTCTGGGAAATGTCCTGTCTCTGTGACCCGTTGGTCTGAAGTCTGTCGAAGAACTTCCTCTGCTCCCTCTGCTGGTTCTCCAGCCTGTCCTGGATCTCCTGCTGTTGCCGTAGCAACTGCTCGTTCTGTCTGCGGAGCTCCTGGGTGCTGCTGCCGGGACGCTGGGCCTGGGCTGACCTCCGACCCGGGGGCGGGGCCTGCTCCAGCTGGTTCTGATCATCACCTGATGACCAAAATAATGTAGTGTTGGGTGCCACATCAACTGTCATTCTATGTCTATGGCTGGGAGTTTATGAAACATTCAAACCACCACAACACACCAAAAGTCTTCAAGATGGTCTGTTAGTAGTGAGTCGCATATGTATGATTTGTAAATTCATGTTTCTCTGAAATTTACCACTTATAATAAGTTATACGCTCAAAAGAAAATTGCAATGGTACCACTTTATTCTAATACTATGGAGTCAGTGTTACCACTAGAGTCGGAAGAATGCCACCTGGTACACATGTACATGTAATATACCATTTCACACAAGATGTAACCAAAAAAAAAAAATGAATGAGTTAGTGGGGACAAAAAGATGGGGAAAATGTATGATTCTTTATTATGGCAGCACTCCAAAACTTTGTCACACCAAACCCACACCACGACCAATTCTGCAAACCCACTTACTGTTCGCTAACTTTCGTTCCAACTTTTCAGTATAGTTGCTCAGTAATTCCTCAGAGGAAGTGCGATTCTGAAGAGAGCCCCCTAGAGGATGCAACGAGAAGTGCAACAAAGGCAACTAATGGACAGTGTACACTAGAACAGGTCAGAGGAATGTACTAGATAGTTTAGGAAGACTGTTGAAGACAAGCACTCAAGACAAGTTGGAAATCAGTAGTGTTGGCATTGTGATTGACAGAATCCCTGCTGCAAGAAAATTTCCAAATTCATCATCTACTAAAACACGTCAAGAGAAAATGCCATAAAGAAGAAGCTTCAAGCCCAGAACACATCAATATATAGTACATGTTAGACTAACACTTGGAGTATATCTATTTGGCTTTACAGGTAACTTTAAAGTCTACAGTAGGCTGATATTTTTTTTATTGGTTCCTGGAGTTTTCACGTAAATGTTAAGTGAAACAGAAAAAATAGCAACTGCAACTGTGACTTAAAATATGAATCTATTTTAACAATGTATTATCATTCTTCTGTATGAGCATGTATGTACATGTATGAGTAGCACTTGAAATAATGTCACATAACCTTGTACAGTTTCTCTCAAAATGTAAACTCCTGAAGAGTTAACCTGAGTAAATGTTGTGAATTACCTGAAACCTCCTCATCAGGCTGTGTGAAGAAGGTCCCCCGGCCCATGTCCTTGGCGGGTAGTTCTGGAGACGACACTTTCCGTGAGCGTTGTCGTCCCTGCTTTGGGGCTGTGTGCAAATCCGCAACCACCATCTGTGCCATCTGTAACCATGACAGCAAAAATAAAATTATGGCATAATAGCTTAAATGATTATAGTGCACCTTGGTACTGATAAACATTGTACATGCAATCTTGTCATTTTATACAGCTTCTAAGAAATCACTACCATTTCTTTGTACTATATGAGAATTAGCATGGATATTGGGAAATTCTACAAAGAATTATGTCCAGTGTTCTCACAATGCCGTTTGTGCATAGGGCCCATATACTGTAATTTCAACCTCCTATGTTGTGAAGAACCCTGTGACCCTTTCAAATCTTTGAAAAAATTGGAATTTGAATTTAGAATGAAGTTATTACAGAGGGAAAACATAACTTAACAAAATTTTTCCTTTAAAAAAAGTCTCAGAAGGTTACGAATTTTAAAATGTTTTTGGGAGAATACTGTGGTCATGCATTTGGGACTCAATACTTTGCACTTTGCACTCAATACTTTGCACTGTGAAGTTGTCCTTCTGTATCTGACCCCTATGCTCTGAGAAAATTCTGATGAAAACACTGACGTCATATATCAACTCTAGTCTTGGATCAAAAGTCAGAGTGGAAGTGGGTTTGAATCCACTTTGACTGGTGATCCCCAAATTTGTCAATTTGCACACACCTGTGGATCCACCTTCTTGCTTCCCTTACTGCCCTTCTTACTCCCCTTCCCTTTCCTTGTCTTAGATGCCATACTGCTGGCCGGGCTGCTCACAGCTGTCAGTTCACTGTCATCACTCTGTGGAATGGATCGATACAACTGTTCGTGAGACAAACTTTCTGGTTAAATTAAAGCAGTCATACACAACAAGCTGACGGGGCTTGAAATACTGGGTACATACATGTATGCACCTTAGTGCAGGTAAAATTGGAGCTGTGCTGATGTCTACCTGCATTGATCCATGTACTGGGTTTACATAAAAACTCCACACCTATATATATTATGCATAGGTGTGGAGTTTTATTTGCTGCATTGACTGTTAATAAGAAATAATGGCAATGGCTTCTAAACAGTTTTTATTATGATCCATACTTCCTAAACTCTGAGTGGTGCAGGTACAATTTGTCTGGTACTGGTAATTTTCAGAAAATTTTGCAGAAAAAAGTATTTTGAGCCCTGGCTGTCACAGACAAACTCTGAATGCTTACCTTGTCTTAACAAGTTTTAACTATTTCAGCTGCTACATGTACGACAGAAAGCATGCATTAGTCTGCTCTATATCAGTAGGGATACCAGGTATTACTTATCATCACAATAATTAATATAGAAAGTAAAAGTCCTTATGTCCCAGGCTGGTACAGAATCAGAGAGAGAAAGTACAGTTAATACTTGGCAAGAAGGAAAATTCCCCAGCTGGCATGTCAACAGCAACTGAAATATTTATGTTGAACCTGTTTATTCATTTCAACAGGATATGGTGTTATGAACTGGACCAAACCATTTCCATTCAAGGGAGACATGATGTAATTTTTTTTCAAAATGAAATGACTCAACATAACACAACAGAGACAGGTTTGAATTCTACTTTTGTGTGTCTCATCTTCAACATTAGGAAAGGAGTTGCAGTCCAAGCTGAGTTAAAGTGGGAAGACACCACACAGGAAAAAGAGTACAGACAAGGATAACATGAACGACAGGTAGAATAACTATGGTTAGTACCAGGAACTCGTCAACACCGGCTTGTGGCTGAACTGGGATGTCTGTTCTTCCCTGTTGGGCACAGCAGCACACAGTGGGTCAGTAGGGCAACACAAATCTTACTACTTCTAGCACTATATACATGTATACAGTAGATATACAATGTAGTATTAATATCACGCGTAAGCTACAACAGCAAACAAAAATAACTCCTCAGCAAATATATTAAAGAAAGATTAGTAAAATAAGTAACAATTATGACGGAAGCAATGTTGGCTCAAATTATAGCATTTGGGGCTAGCATACGATTCCTAGGTCTGTTTTTATCATTTTTTTCACCCTGTCGCTTCATATTTTTTCTGAAAAAAATCAGAGAACCAACAAATCAAATTTGTGTGGCCTTACCTTTCCACCTTTCCTAGGCTTGCTGTACAAGGGATCTCCTTGTTCCCTGAGTTCAGCCTCCCTGTCCAGCTGGTGGTACAGCGGTGCAACGGCAGCCGGACCCGTGTCTCTCTCCGGCGGGGTGCTGGGGGGCGTGGGCATCCTGTCCCGGTCAGACAGGGTCCCCAGTCTGTTGTCCCTGTCCGGCGGCACAGTGGCATACCTGTAGGTAGGATTGGGGCCATGTACACATTATCTCCAATGTCTTTGACTACTAGGACTTTTCTAGCTAGCGAGAGAGAAAGATCACTAATATAAGTATAAACAGTAACCTTTAGAAATATGTAAAACTTTAAAGTTAAAACATAATTATTGGGCAATAAACCAGTCCTACATTGGAAGATGTGATCTCAGAAAACCACAAATTCTTCCAACTGCTTTGGGGACTCTACCGGTAGTATGCTTTGTAGCCATGTTGTTGGCTTTCTACTTAGATAGATCGTGACTGATTCATGAGATAGGAATGGTTTAAGAGAGCCTGGGAACTGAGTTTGTTTACTACAAGATACTCCATCATACTGTCACATTTTGTTTAAAAGTGCTGGCATTGCTGTCACAACCAATGGTCCAGACCAGCAGGTCCATGGTGACAGAGTGAATACATCTGTGCAAACTGAAAGCTGAACAATTTGGTTGAACCGTTCTAAACTTCTAATTGAGAAATAAAAGCCTGGCTTTGAAGGTGAGACAATCATGTAAAACTAAAATTCAATAGGGTACATTATAGAAATTACACAGTAAATTATACTGTGTTTCATTTGCACTTGAGTTGACACTGTCTATAGTAAGTAGTGTCTATAGTATCTACCTAATTGGGAAAGCGATGTACATGTGTACAGTACAAGATGCCAATGGCGACAAAGTTCGTGTTTGTTTTTCTGGTTAAACCACTTGATTGACTGATTGAGTTATTGACTGATAATTGATAGATTGAGTTACTGACCCATCCTCCATCTCCAGTTCATCTGAGTACATCTCACTGTCCACATCACTCATCTCATCCTCCAGGCTCCCACGGTCCATGCTGCGGAAGCTGTGCCCGCTCTGGTCCAGCCGGAACGTGCTCCTCAACGTGCCATCAGGACTGGCGTCCGCGTACGGGAGCCCGACCTTTGACCCGGTGAAGCTGGCGTTGAGGAGAGCGGTGGCGAGCGCGGACGGAGGTTTGGGCGGCTCCTTGGGCGGAGGAGGGGAGCGCGGGACGGCGGCAAAGGCAGTTACAGGGATCAGGGAGGAGGCAATGTGGCTCTGGGGATAAAGGAGTTCATTTTCAGCATTATACATAAAGACTTAGATACATATCAAAAATTGTTATTTGTACTGTAGTATCATATACCAGTTCAATCTATCCTCTTCAATGAGGTTCTGCGTATATTAAATCTGTGAATATCTTATTATACTAGACAATATGTTTAAAATGTGTTTATCAGCAAGGGCACACAGGGGATGTCTTCTTATCTACTATGATGGTGTCAGCATAATCAGCAAGGTCATATATTATAATGTTCTTGGTATCAGTTAGTATTATAAATGATTCAAAAATTAAATTACATTGATGGGCTATGATGATAATAATATAATAGCTTTACCTTTACCGTTCAAAACATTCACTCGTCTATATCTATTCCCTGTGCTTTATATAATAGAAGAAGTACTTGTATCTTAATGGCATAGTCATTGCTTACTAAATAAATATCAGTATGTAGTAAGAAAACAATACATGTTCATGTACATGCCCCCCTCCCCACCACTACATTATTATGGTCATTCGAGTTTCAGCTGCAGTGAGACTGTTAATAGGTACTAGTAGTAGTATGCACCAACGTTGGCCAACTCTTGATCACACACGTGGCATAACTCACCAGCTACACACTTACGTACGTATGAGACACAACTGTCGCAGCGTCAGCTGGCAGCCGTGGAATTCAAAACAAAAACAAAGGGCCGGCCCACGCGACGGTTGACGCCTTGTGTAGATTTCACCAACGACCCTTGTCCTTGGGCGTCGCAACCTACCACCCTCCCCCAAAATCTCTCTACACTTGCGGAAATCTACGCGTGTAAGAAGAAACCAGACCTAGCGAGAAATCGTTTCCACATGTGTCAGTTAAAAGAGGTCGTTTCGCTTGCCCCGGTGCCTTTCCCAAACACTCCCAACGGAGAAAACGCGGGTCTGGAAACAATCAAATCTCCATCCATCTGGAGCGAGTCACCGGCCTTGGGCATTCAAACAAACAACGGACAAGGCCAGCTGCATTGCTTCCGCTACCGTTAATTGGTATTTAAAGAGACATATTTCTTCCAGACTTACCATGCCGCCCCCTTTCCCCTTCCCTTTCTTCTTGTCCTTCCCGCCCGCCATGTTGAAACGCCCGTATGGAACATGCGGGCTTGGCGCATGCCCAACGAAGCTAATTAGTTGCTATGGCAACGGGTGTTAAATGACAATACAACTAGATGGTGATTTATTGGATCAGACTGGGCGGGCTAGAAATAGATCGGCGGTGACAATTATACCCACAAGATATGGCTTCAATTATTAGCAGGAGAAACCATATGCAGTAGCTGAACTAATGATCTCCGGTGGCCTAAAGACAGTAGCATTATCCAATTTGGCAGCATAGATGAAGTTGGCCTCTACTCTAGGTTTCAGGTTTTGTCTCCTGTCATGGTGTGTCATCAATCAATGTGCACAAGTTGTCTAGACTTGGAGAGTCTAGTGTCAGTGTCATGTTGTGTCTAGTTCAAATGAAATAGCAAAAGTTGAAAAGAGAACGTCAAACATAATATGGCATATTCTATTTATTGAACCTCCTTGGAACTGGTAGCGCCCAGGTCCAAAAATCAGCATTTCATATATATACATTGCCTCCTAAAAATATCTTGTATTTGCATGTGGTATTTAATTAATTTATTATTGCATTGCACCACCAATGGTAACACAATAATAACATCATGATTTTCAATTAAAGCTTTATTGTTTCTGTAGACTGATATCCATCCCTATCTTAGCTCCACTCTCTTCAACAGTCATTTCCCTCCAATATCTTCTACTGACTCAGCTGTCCTCCATTTACACAACAGTACATTAATGTCTTTTATATACACTCTGTTGAAAAGAACACTTGAAGCAGATTCCTCTGACTTGCACACATTTTTAGAGGAAACAAAGTTATGTTGAAATGAATTGCCAGTGTTCTGTAGATCAAGCTACCAGTATACTTGATACTGGGAATTATTTAGTTGGGTCCTGAGTGAAGTCTTGTTGTACATGTATCTCCACCCAGCCACAAGATAGCATATACATGTATACAATAAAATATCTGTTTTTCTTTGATTTATTAGATCATGAAGAGTTGTGATCCTGTGTAAGGTCTCTGACTTTGTCCACGTTATGATCCACAGCATTCTGTAGGAACTGTAGCCACGAGGAGTCAGCCTCTGTGGTGAAATGTGAGGACCTGTATAGCAGAAATCATGCTTATTTACCAATAAATAAATACACAAACTGAAAATACATGCTTTTCCTAGGAATACATTGGAGTGTCTACAAGTACAACTAATTGAAATCAGGAAATATTGCTTCATGCAGAAGCAGGGAAAAAGTGCAATTAGATAAGTTCTAGCAACACTAGTACATATGATAATGTACTTACTTTGCCATATCCAAAAGGTTCTTGAGTACACCAGATAGTGCCAAGGCCTATGAGGAAAAAAACATGTGACAAAAAGTTTGTGTAGAACCAAAAAAGCATCTTCAAATTCTGTACCACCAAAAAAAAGACAAGACTAGATTCAAATGAAGAGTTTTGTAATGGAATCTTCCTACGCCTTTCGAATTAAATCTTCAGAGGTTTCAATGAAATGTTGTAAAGTAGAAAAAAAGTAAAAAAGTCTTACATTTGTTCTGACTGCAGAGTGGTCCATAAGAGGGTACAGCGACAAGACTGTATCATCAACACTGCAGAAACATCAAGATGTTAGACTGATAATGCCAAGATTTTCAATGATTAGCATTACAAAAACCTGTGAGATAGTGCAGGAGAGCAGTAACCAATGTCAGATAGAATTATTAGAATAAGCCTCAAAATGCAGTTATCATGACTGCCAGGAGAATTGTCAGTACTGCTATACTAGTGTTCTTGTTCAGTAAACCTGTCTACTAGTACCACATACGACTACCACTGCAACTACTGGTACGACTATGACTAACACTATTACTAGTACTGCAACTACTGCTATAGCTGCTGCTGCTACTACTACTACTACTACTACTACTACTACTACTACTACTACTGCTACTGTTACTACTACTACTACTACTAGTCCTACCATAACCAATACTTACTGAGGACTTGTTTGATTTACTACATCTGCAATGTCATCCAACTGTGCTATTCTGTCCACTGTGTCACATTTCCCACCAGACTTCAGAGCACCAGATACTTTCTTCAGACAGGCCTTGGCAGCTTTAACCAGCCCCAGACAGGGGGCCATCAGGGATTTGTCAGACTCTGTCCAGGACTGTTCACTGTTGTCTGCCTCTTCTGAGTCCTCAAGCTGTAGTTGATCTAGTGCTGGTACATTTGCATCATTGTCTCTGGCCTTAAGGAAGAGAAGAAGAAAGTTTGTTACTGGCCTAAAAAGGGAGTGCTAAATATTTGAATGAATACAGATCAAAGTTGAAGAAAAGCAATATTTGATAAAAATATTTTTATCACCTCCTCAATTTCCTGTAGTGCATCTTGAACAAGACTAGTTGTGTTTCTGATGATCAGTAGCACTGCTTCCTTGTTATCTATTGCAGGAAATATCAGAAAAATATGTTACAACAGTCCTGTCCCTGGTGCTGAATACTTACTATTGTGACACAGTCCTTTCCTTGGTCCTGAATACACATTATCAAAAAAGTCCTGTCCCTAGTATATGTACTTACCAGTCATCAATTTGATGATGTTGTCCTTGAAGCTGACTGGACATTGTAAATGTAATTGCTTTTCAATACAAGAACTACAATAGTATATATAGCCTAAGATACTAATGGCCCATACAATGTATGATGAAATCTCTCATGTTATAAAGAGATAGAAGCAAAGCTATTATCATAATTCACCTTTAGGAAGTTTTGAAAAGTCCTCACAGCATTCCCATACACTTCCTGTGGCAAAGAGCTGGGAGGAAGATCTGATTGGAGAAACAACATAACATTTCAACCAACTGCAACCTATCAATGTTACAATTACGGATGCATTCAGTTGGTATTGGTTAAACCATAGAGTGATTATTAGAACTCTTGTGAATGGCAACTGGAGAATTCCTACCCTTTGCCCACATTTTTGATGATGTGGTTGACTAGATCTTGAAGTTCATCAACAACAGACGTCACAGACAGGCAGACAGACTTTCTTAATGTCATACCTACAACACAAAAGAGGAAAATATTTCAACACTTATTCACTTTCTAATGTATCTGATACAGGTACAGTTAAGGGGGCACACCCCAGTTTATTTGGCGTCTCTATTCGAAGCTGCACACCCTCAAATCTAGCGACCGTGTCTGGCGTGGAATAATTCGGAAGGAGAATAACTGTATATGGGACGAAAGGATATCTCTTCAGCTACAAGACCAGCTGAGTTTGGTTTCTTCAACCTTTTTAATTTTGGTAAAATCAACGGAAAAAACATTATTTTCACTCCAAAATTAATGCCCAAAATTGCGAATTTTCGCGTAGGATAATCCCATAGAAAAAAATTTTCCGGCAAAAATGACTGATGCTGGCAGAAAGACCCAAGCCTTGACTATACCCGAGTAAATTATAAAGAAAATTCTAGTACTGTAATTTTTTTAATCGTCCACGGCGCGAGGGGTTGCAAATCCGCTACTAGGAAGGCGCAGAGCGAAATCTAGGTCAAACGGGCGGATTACACTTGGCGCGCAAGGATACCCGGAAGTAAGGTTCGGAGCCAAAAGAATTTTTCACCCCAAAATCACCATTCCTTACACTCTTCAGCCATGTTAATGTTTAATGATACTTCGTGCCAGTTTATGAGAAATGTCACATCAAACTTGGGCCCTCAAAACCCCTTCGTCACTTTTTTTCAACGGACTATCGTGGACCCCGGTCGCGGAAGAACTGGGGTGTGCACCGTTAATTAGGCCACATTTTAATTAACATTGTTTTTTAATTAACTATGTCATAGTCTACAAATCGTGCCAAGTTTGAGTTGTCTGCGACTTTTCCTTCCCGAGTAACAGGTGGTTGAAACTTACCCTGTCGGAAGGCTCATTTTGCGCTTCCACGGGTGTGTTCCATTCAACGCACATAATGAGAATGACGTCACAATGGTCCGTTCCTTTGGAACAAGTTTTAACCCATTAAACCATGCCCAATGAACAGGTATTGCCATGTAAAGGAGTGCTAGAGGACTGTTCTTGCGATGGAGTAGGTTTTCCTTCTAGTTCTGACTGAAATAAACGGTATAAACCACCCAGAATGTAGTTTAGCTGATGACGTCACAATGCCCTCCTCTAGCCGAACTTTTTAAGTGAGAGCGCTATGGTTTTAAGTTCTGTACGTTGACAGGAAGCAGTTGATATTAAAATTTTTGGTCATACCCGGTAGAGAACAAACCAAGAGATCTTACCTAAGTGTTTCCGCTGCGGAGATTCATTTTGTTTTGCAGAAAAACAAAGCTTAATGTTGGATATTTGGTTAGATTGTAGGCCTGTGGCGTCCTTCTAGCAGCTAGGACGGTATAAATGGCCATCTGCTGAGAGAAGCCTGTACAGTTTGGTGTCGGTCTCGATGAGATATAAAAGCAGGAGGATGTATCTTCGGATTATTGCAACTTATTTGTCTGTAAGTTGAAATCTCGCGATAGGCCGAACTTGAAACTAGATTTGACAGGAAAGTAGGGGAATGACGTCATCAAGGCCTTTTTTTAACTAAAAACGTCTCCTCCTTAATGCAGGAGCGACTGACACACGTACATACGCAGTTTCCAGGTGCCCCAGGGATAGGGAAATGCAAATAATGAAATCGCGGTAGATATGAGGTCATTGATCTTCAGTAGACACACTTGGAAGTCAGTTTGACCGTGTTCGAGGGGGGGGGGCGTGGGGAGGGGGGCAAATCAGCGCATTATATGACATTCCATAATCATATTAAAACTTGCGAAATCCAAAATTTTTTCGCCATGATTGGGTAAAGGATATACACTTTACTAGATGAAATGCAATTTGTTGGCTGACATAGCTAATATTTTTTGAAGGACGGACCTGTTTAAGGGGGCACACCCCAGTTTATTTGGCGTCTCTATTCGAAGCTGCACACCCTCAAATCTAGCGACCGTTTCTGGCGTGGAATAATTCGGAAGGAGAATAACTGTATATGGGACGAAAGGATATCTCTTCAGCTACAAGACCAGCTGAGTTTGGTTTCTTCAACCTTTTTAATTTTGGTAAAATCAACGGAAAAAACATTTTTTTCACTCCAAAATTAATGCCCAAAATTGCGAATTTTCGCGTAGTATAATCCCATAGAAAAAAAATTTTCCGGCAAAAATGACTGATGCTGGCAGAAAGACCCAAGCCTTGACTATACCCGAGTAAATTATAAAGAAAATTCTAGTACTGTAATTTTTTTAATCGTCCACGGCGCGAGGGGTTGCAAATCCGCTACTAGGAAGGCGCAGAGCGAAATCTAGGTCAAACGGGCGGATTACACTTGGCGCGCAAGGATACCCGGAAGTAAGGTTCGGAGCCAAAAGAATTTTTCACCCCAAAATCACCATTCCTTACACTCTTCAGCCATGTTAATGTTTAATGATACTTCGTGCCAGTTTATGAGAAATGTCACATCAAACTTGGGCCCTCAAAACCCCTTCGTCACTTTTTTTCAACGGACTATCGTGGACCCCGGTCGCGGAAGAACTGGGGTGTGCACCGTTAAGCTATCATTGGTTGTAGAGTTAAGATCTAAATTTCAAAACGTATGCTTTCCTTCATATTTTAGGGATTTCTCATAGTCACATGAGTCCATTTTGAAGAAAACATGGATCCAAATATTCTAGTGTCTTTTCGAATTCATTCTTAAAATAAACACTGATGTTAATTTTTTTCCTAACTTAAATACATGTATTGTATGTATTAATACATACCCTGATCTTTTGGTAAGGAGTAGAAAGTTGAGATCATGGCCAGAACTGACTTTTCTACTCCTTGTATTAGTGATTTACTCTCCTGCAACACAAACATATACAATGTAGTCAAGAATCAGTGAAAGTTGTAGTCAGGCCTTTCCTTGTGAATGAAAAAAAAAAAAAAAACAATTACAAAACACATTTGAATATTTCCCTCCCTAAACGATTTGTCATTTTTACACACAGTACAAATGTAGTAAAAGTACCTCCTCTGAAGGAACTGGTGGTTTGGAGAACATCAGGCACATTTTGGTGGCCTCGTGAGACATGATCTTGAAGGTTGCACCTGGAAGAACAAAATAGGAATCAATGTATACAGAGTGTGACATTTCATGCTACATATTAAAGTCAGCCTGACTTGTTAAACACCAGTCCATGCGATCTTTATATAAAAATCCTTGATAAAAATCAGTGTATTCTTACTCAGTCGTTCCCAAAAAGTTGGTAGGCTGAAATCCTCGGGAGTTTGTCGTCTTGATTCTCCTTCTACAGGGAAAAAACACGATTATTAAATCACTATAATAATATACGTAAGCCACGAGGAAAATGGTAAAATATTCTATGACTGGATTTGGTAAACTTTAAATAGCCCCCCTCCCCCTCCACCCTCCCCACCACCGCAGTCATAACACAGCAAAAAAAAGGAAATTTCGCACGACTTTACATGTAGACAGCTATGTCAAACACTCTACCCTTACCTTTGAGTTGTTCTGTGACTAACTTGAGGTTAGAATGAAGAGTGTCCAGCTGATTCGCGACGTTTTCAGACATTCTTTCGTCCATGGCGGCGGCCATGTTTTCTGTGATGCAATCAGAAGAGGTCACTTGAGGTCGCGTGTAGGAATTTGGAGAAACCCACTTTAAAAACCACGTCTATCTACAAACTAACCAGCTGTTTGCTTTTAATTCCAGTAAAACATAATGTATGAAGGCTTTTAAGTAACCCCCATTGAGATTTACTGTATCATATAGTGTAACGTATTAACTACAGAAATTGCAATACCCCCGCTCTTATAGTGGAACGACCCAAATGTGGAGACGATATAAACACCAATACACCTGACCTTATAAAGTTTTCTTTGGGAGACTGGACTACCTGTTTTCCCAAAAGTAATGACAATAAAATGTGCAGCTCATTGACATCACATTGTCAAAAACAAGTAAAGAGCAGAGTCAGAGGATACTATGACAGCATCAATTTATTGCACACCTCATACTTGTCACTTGAGGATATGTCCTATCAGAACTTCTAAAACACACGCTTATCCTTCTACGCGTGGAGAAACACAGTAGTAGCCTGAATTGTTAACAGGTCATTGTTTGTAAATATTTAATGTCATTTAGATTCTTTGTCTCTCCACAGTGATTGGAAGTTTTGGTTGATCATAAAGACACTCAGTCATCATTTCTCAGTTTCTTATCACAGAAAAAAAAAAAAAAATATTTTCCTATAAAATGATCAATAATATAAATACTGTATGATTTATAGTCAAAATATTTCAATACAAAAATCACTTTAGCTTACTAACTCTTACACATTGCAATAATGATTTCATTTGTCTATTTGAACTTAATTGAATGCATGGCCAGTCTTGGTATGTGTTGATTTGATACATTGCTGATTTTGCATAGCTGATTGCCAAGTTATGATAGCACAGTGCTATATGGTACATGCACATGCCATCATATAACGTTACATCTGTATAAAACATCTGCATTTCTATCATAAATTGATTGCAACATCTCTGATTAAATACATAAATCCTACAAAACATATACTATAAAATTTCACTTCTTGTCAAAGTTCCTTTTCTAGTGGAGACTGATGTTTTCCATTTTGGTTTGGTGAGTAGGACCTCAGCAGTCGTATCATCTGGGCAAACCAGTAAATTTGAAAGCCCAGAATAACTGCACACCCAACATTACACTTCACTGGTATTACAAATGGCACTTGCATGATTGAAAGTCCGTACTTGTCACCATACACAGCGTAGAGCATGGGGAAGATGGCGATTCTACACATGAAGAAGGCTACGATCGCAAACACACCGTTTAGTAGGTAAACAAGACTGTTTTCTAGCTGGAAACGTAAGAGGACGGAACGCATGGCAACGAACGGCGTACTGAGTTCAAGGAAGAACAGGCTAGCCACGAAGAAGTCGCCAAGTCCTTTTCTGAAGAACATGATAATTGGGAAGAAAATAGCCGGCAAGGCAAGGTGGTGAAACACCATGAGTCCCTTTCTCTTGAGGAAGAACTTGAGGGGAAGCCAGCCATTGGTTGTTTGTTCAGGAAACCTGGCGCATTCCACGAGGTACATGGACCAAATATCGTAGTAGAAGTACACCACTCCAAAACAGGTGTATGCCTCTACCAGCCAATGGCGGGCGTACAGAATCTCTCTGTAACAGTTCACAACGACGACAGCACCGACAAGGCACGAGATGATGGCTTGGAGAGAAGACACAGCACTGTTGCACAAGAGGAAGAGGTCTGCTCTGCTCAATCCTGGCCATATTTTACCAACACCCGCTACCAGGAGGTAGAAAGTTCCTGGAAAGAAGACACACCCCGCCAACATGTGACTCAGCATCTTGGGTTGTTCGTACATTTCTTCTCATTTAGAAGCATGGGCAGGGTGCACAAACTTCCCCCTGAACTTAAGAACTTCTTTGGTCCAGGATGGAGCCGAGAGTAAAGCTTTTATAAGGCACCATCCTTGCCGGTATGATCGGTGCAAAAGTTCAGTGGAATGCACACTTCCGCATCCGGATGTAAACTAACCGAACCGGATGTTCTTGAGGGCTTTCTAAGTCCAAGAGGCAGAGGGGTGATCAAATTACGATGGAAAACATAAACATAAGAACACTTGATTTTCTATGATGATAAAATACAATCAACTGTGAATAAGTAATATAAGAGTCTCCATTTTAACATGCTTTTAACTTTACGTAGGTCGTTTGTTCTAAAATTTGCTAATTTTCTTAATATCACCTCTTGAAATTTGGTATGTCCTCACGGCTTCGGACAACAAAATTTCTATCTACACAAAGATGGCAGACCCAGAGTTAGAGGCGATCCGAGCTCGGAGAATGGCTGAAATGCAGCAGCAAATGGGGGTAAACATCAAAGTACTCCTACTATGATATAGCATAAGACCTGATGGTCCACGTTAACGTAAAATGCATAAACGTATAAGTGTATATCTAGAGATATAACGTGTGGCATGGGCGGGGTACACAACATGGGTGTGGGAGGGGGGTCATGCATGCATTCCTATCATCATAATTAATAAGAGCTCAGAAAGGATAATTGTCAGATGAGATATGTATCACAAAACTGTGCAAACGTTTCAAAAATAAGAGGATACTAGTTTATGTACTAGTAACGTATGAATGTCATAATTTGACGTGCATGACAACAGCAGAAATTTCTAGAAATTCTTTTTTTTGTGCCATGACTATAACAGTGCATGTTCCTGTCAACAGTACAAGAACATTAGTCTTATTAATAGGAAAATACCGTCAATGTTACAAACAAAATTCTTATTGTCAAAAATATCCTGTCAATGATTTGAATAATGCAAAACATTACTACTACTACTGCCAGTCAGTCTCAAAACATCAGAGCAACAAATTTTATTGACCACATCTTGTCAATGCATTGTAGTGTAAAAAAAAAAACTTTTTGTAGATAGAAGGGAACACCATTTTTTAAATGTGTAATGATAATTTGGTAATGGAAAGGAATGCGATTATAATATTTGTGGTCCCTAAAAACAAATCTTTTTCCTCACTTCTGTACAAATTTTCCTACTACATGTATTCATTTGAAGCCTCTGTTTTGTGTAGTTTTGTTGTTATTACTGTATTGTGTATGTGTTATACATCAATATCAGACTTATTTGTTGTAAATCCGTACTCTCTCTGTTTCTTTGCTGTGTCTGTGTTTTCTACTGTGTCTCTATGGCATTTGTAGCAAAGTGGTCAAAACTTCCCCTTTCAGTTGCCAGCAGGGGTAGACAGTGGTGCTGGCTACCCTGGTGCATATCAGCAGGTCAGGATGAGATGAAAAAGCATGAAACAAACAAACATACAAACAAAGGAAATTCTGTACGTAAACTTTCTCTAACATGGATGATTACTACATGTACAAAATGTATTTGACAGAGTGCTTGCAATAGGTGTTAGTGATCATAATAGATGTTATAAAATTGGATACCAAGTCATGCCTTTGGAATTAAGAATATCAAAATATTATTTACTTCATGTATACATGCTTATCATGGAAATGCTTGTTGTCTAAAAAAATGTTATTTTTTTCAGACTCAGAGTTTTGGTGTCTTATAATTGTGTGCAGAGGCAAAATTTATTTTAAAAAATCCTAAGCACAAATTGCATCTTAGTCTTATTAACCGTCTGCTGTTTTCATGAAACACTACTTACTACATCTTGTTTATTATTGATATATTATTGATATATTATTGAATTTGTTCATACATGTTTCAAAAAGAGAGAAGAGATCCTGTAGTTAGATCCTGTAGATAGAGAAATAGCACACAAATGTAACAATTGTTTCTATTCTTGTACCCATTTAGTTATTTAACTTAAGTGCATTTGGCCCGTGTAGGGTGTGAACATGCAATAAAGTTCATTGTCATTGTCATTGATTTCATGTCTGCAATTTTGATGATGTTTCAGGGAGGGGGTGACCAAAAAGCTGAGCAGCAAGCCAGGTGGGGGTTTGTCTCCTTATTATTTACAGTGATACATACAAAAATGACTATCTCTGCTTAACTTAGGTAAGGTTATTTTTTTTCTTCAAGATTAAAATGTTTTCTGTGTCTTTGATTGAATACTTAGCATTATTTGATTTTGTCTACAGACAAGAAGAAATGAAGAACACAATTCTGGCAGGAATCCTGGACCAGGCATCTCGTAGCAGATGTAAGAGAATGTCTTGTATTTTGTTGCTGTTGAATTGTGAAATGGTACGGATATCATTCAGTAGTATACATGTACATACGTGCAGGTGTTTACTGGTTTGGAATTATAACCTTGAGGTCATCAAAACTATAAGATTGTAATAAACTACCAACTTTTATGATTTTGATCATGAAGACATGCTACATCTCCTTGAGAAGAAAATGTAATTTTTTTTCATCATTTTCTTGCTGATACTTGTACTTCAGTGAACAACTTGAAGTTGGTGAAACCAGAGAAGGCAGCGATGGTAGAGAACATGTTGATCCAGATGGCACAGACTGGACAGGTACAGGGGAAGGTAAGAAAAAGCATGCTGTAAAAAATACACAGAAAACTAAAAACAAAAACACTCAGAAGAGCACAAATCTTTTAAACCATGACAACACAATGTTAAAATGTTTTGTATCTTATGATGGTTAAAAGTTCTTAAAAAGATTCCACTACCAGGATTCAACTGTGATGTGCATGAGTCAATGACAGTGCAGTTTCGATATCCATGCATTGATAATGTCGTTGCACAGATCGGTGAAGATCAGCTGAAGAATATCCTAGAGCGTGTTAGTGAGCAGGCAAAACCAGTGGGAAAAGTCAAGGTAGGTCAAGAACAAATTGTAATGTTACAATCCTTACATTTCCATTGCATGGTGAACATCTTTGTGACATTTGTAGCAGTGGTTAGATGTTGTGTGTGCTTCTGTGGCAAATTCAGCATTCAAGAAATGATGTAAGGTTTGCCTCATAGGATAGCTTGAAAAACGTCCAGTTGTACATTCAGGGAAGATCTGTTAGTACAAGACTCAGCACAAGTGTAGCTCAAAATCTGTTTGTACTTCTTGGGTTTACCTTTTAATACAGAAAGCTGTACATGTCATAATCATGATGCTATTCCATAAAATTCATTTGTGTATGTTTTTATTTTCCAGTTCCAACGTAGGAAAGTTTTTGATGATGACAGCGATGATGACTACTAGTCTTTGAGAAGGGCCAAGGCACCCATGTCATCAGCAATGTGCCTCGTACTAAAATAAAGGGACTGCCATTTGGACTTGCACCTAGTGCATATGACTGTTCTTGCAGCTACAACTACATAACTACAGATGCTTCAGAAGGATAAGCAGTATTGTATGAGGGACTGTATATGTTTCCTGTAATACTCTAAGTAGATGGTGATTTCAGCATTGCAACATATACTGTGGAAGCTTAGCAATAAGATGTCAGCACCAAAACACTTTAAATTAATACTGTACTGTCTCTCGGTACATCATAGATATATTCTGTCAAATGATTATGATCCCGTTTTTCAAGGGAAACTAAACAGCATTCACATTATGCTTAAAATGTTTGAGAAATTTTTGAGATTATGTATTGCAAAGCTAGTTGCTGTGAAACATACACTATTCATTTGTACAAGGTAGCATCATTTATGCGTGCCACTTTTTTGTAGTTTTTGGCTGAAAAACATAATATTTATAGTTTTCATGGTGTGACTATTACTAATACATGTCTAGGTTGTCTTGATTCCAAAGACACATGCATACATGAACCTTTCGGGAGAGAGAGTGGTTAAGAAACGCTTTCTCATGAAATTCTCTGTGTGAAATTGTACAATATTTGTACCCTTTATACACAGTTCCAATAATGGTTCTTTTGAATTAAAAGTCATGCATAAAACAAATAACTTTGTATCTTTACTGATTCAAGTGTTGTGTTAGAGTGACATAATACATGTATATACATTTTTGTATGTGTACTACTCGTCTATATATAGTGAATTGCCAATATAAAGTACAGTAGTGTATACTATTAGGTAAAAAGAATGAAATACCATACAGAATGAGCAAAAGAAATCAGAAATATAATTCCTAAAACAAGATGCTATTGAAGATATTATTGCTTAACACAAGTTTTGTTTCATTCTAAATTGAATTCAAAATTGCAAAAATGGTCAATTACCACATAGTGTAACACATTGATTCTGCCCTTTTCCCAACAAGCCAGCTATATCTAGTGTACAACATTATTCCACGGTATTTCTTCAATCCAGTTGCATAAAGAAACATTGTCTAAGAACATGACTTCAGTAGGATAGCACACAATAAAAGTCAAGCATCTCATCACTATATATGACAGAAACAAAGATATACATTTAGCATGAAATTTTAGAGAAGCATCCCTGAACACTCTGGAATGCTTGAGATTGGTATAAGAAACATCATACTGATTTGACAGTTTACAAAATTTATCCAGTTGCTTCAGTAACTGTTTTCTTGTGTATCTCGTTACCTGGATGTCACAGTGATATGCTTTGCAAAACTATTCAAACAAGAGTGTAAAGTCCACACAGTACCGCTATATACAAAACATGTAAAGAATACTCCTGAGCAGAAAGAATAAAGATCGTTGAATTATTTCCGATTGCTGATAATGACTGGTTAAAATACCTATTGCCTATTGTTGCACTGCACTGCAGTCTTTTTCTACATACCAGTAGATAAACTGCAAAGATATTTCACAATGTCTTGAACTAGGAAATTTCAGCACACCTCCCATCACAATCACATGGAATGTTGTTAACAGACTACTCTACAATCATGCAGTTATTAATATCTGGAGCATATCTTGTGCTGAAGCTCTCTGTTTGCTATCCTATTATGTAACACTGAATCATTTTATCTCTACGCTACTGTTCCTGTTCCTGTTAATCTTTCTACTGCTTAAGACTGAAATTTGTGATTAATTTGTCTTCTTGTCATCTTCAGTGAAGGACTGTCCGTACTCGTTCACCCTAGTTTTGTCCACAGGATAGAGCCTGGAGAAAATACACAGTGGTCATGTTTATAAAACAAAACAACAAACACTGGTGAAAACATAACAGTCTTCATTGAGGTAATAATACTAAAATACAAAAGCCTCCAAAACCCTCAACTTAAAACGGGAGGGAATGACAACAAGCATAGTGCAGTATGATAAAAACCCCTATGTTTCTGTTAAGGTATTGGAGTTGTTTAAAGTGAAAATAACATGGCTACTTAAAACTCTCCAAAACAACTGCTGAAAATACTATTTACCATCTTTGGTACAGGTAGACACCAAACACAACATCGTCACGGAAACAGGCCATTCTGTGAGCGGTTGGCATGGTGATGATGAAGGCAAAGATGTCGTCTATGAAGGTGTTGAAGGCCTGCAAGAGGGGAAAATGACACAACTTGTAACACAGCTGACATTGTATTAAGTTTGACTGAACAAATATCAAGTTTTCAAGATTATGGGTAAGGGTCGAAATCCTTTTTTTCTGCATACGTAATACCATTATTTCTTTTATACTTATAGGTGGCAAAAGTCAATGCAGCAAATAAAAATCCACATACATGTGTACACCTTAATTTGTATATAAACTCAGTACATGGACCAGTGCAGGTTAGGTTCCGGTAGACATCAAAAATACCTGCACAGCTCCAGTTTTATGCACTAATTAACCTGCATATGAAGGTGGTATTTTGAGCCCTGGTGAGTCAAAGTACTAAGAAGAACATACCTTGTACATGAAGGCTCTCCATGGTAGATGGGCAACAGATTTCAACTGAAATACATATATAGAGTTCAAGTCAATGGTTTCCCTCCTTGATTTAAAATATCTGAGATAATTCTTGCAAACTCAATGAATGTTGTATCCCTACACTTAGCCTCAATCCCTTACCTTGTAGTTGACAAAAAGTTGTGGCAGCATAAACAGGAACCCAAAAGCGTACACACCTAGTGGGGACAGTGGAACAGACATAAGTCAATGATAGTTTTATTTTTGTTAAAAACATGCAAAGGACAACGATAATATCAAAATACTGCTCTGAGAGGTTGACTTACCATTTACCAGGTTTCGGACAACCCAAGAATACCAGCTGAAAAAGACAATAAATTACTATTACTAGTATAATGTGGCCTTGCCAACTTGGCTGTTATCTTAAAAAAATTCATTTTTACAATGCATTACAAATAGATGTATATCACATAATTACATTTTCCAAAAACACTTTACAGAAAAGAGCATTTGTACCATCTGTATTGGTGGTATTAGATGTACTGACCTTTTGTGTGGTGTATATAGTAGTGAGTAGATTGCACCAGCAACACACAGGGGGTACAGGACATATGATAGATACTGCATGGCCTATGGAACAATGTAGATTATAATAATATAAATCGACTTGCCATCTGGTGATAAAATACCATAATGTTATGATACAATCCCAGTGAGTGACCAATCCTGCTTCATGTTTTATATGACTAGCAGTTTATACACTGTGCTGACTTGTCTGTGGCTGACTGAAACTGGTTGGCTATCTATGCCTGATAGGGCTTACAGGCATGTTGGCAGTTCCTGTCCTTGGTACTGAAAATGAAATTCTTGTCCCTAAGTCTAACTACAAGATAAGACAGAGGTACTCACCTTGGAGTCAAACTCTGCTGTTTGTTGTTCTTTTTCAGAAACTGCACCCAACTGAAACCAGAGGCAAAAGACATAGCTAACAATGAAATCAATAATCATGACATTTTCCTCAATGATCAGTTTTTCATCTGTTACTAGCTAAAACTGATACAAGAAAATCTTATGGTACCTGGAAAGATGGCTTCCTCCCATTCCAAGTTATGATAACCTTGAAGGCCTTTTTGACCTTCCAGATCTGAAAAATAAAGACATTGAATGATGATCGTGAGACAGTCAGAACTTAGCTATATAACTCTGTCACTGTGCAAGAACTTCCAATATACACAAAACATATACTTGAAATCCTTAATGTGATACAAACCATATTTTCACCATGATAATCATGTAAAACATGAAAAACAGTATGCTGTACACATCCATCACATATTATCTTTGCAGTGTGAATTGAATAGTTGCACATGCAGTAAAAAAACTACAGGCCAGTCACCTCTATAAGAGTGCCGATGCCTGTAGGTATCAGTACCAACAGACTGGTCTGTTCATCCATCAGGTACAGGAAGATGATGATCTGACTCACACAGCGCCACACAACTGTGGGTGGGAACAGCAGAAAACTTTAAGCAGTTAATCAAATTAAATCATATGCAGATTGATATCACAGGCCAGAAAAAACATGGTTTGACACCTCACAAAAATGTTTTAGTGGATAATCCCTGACCCCCACAACCTCTCACCTGCTCTAGTGGACAGTCCCTGCCCCACACACCCTCTCACCTGCTCTAGTGGATGGTCCCTGTCCCACACACCCTCTCACCTGCTCTAGTGGACAGTCCCTGCCCCACACACCCTCTCACCTGCTCTTGTGGAAAGTCCCTCCATTGTGTCCTTATTCCTCCAGAAGCTGATGTCATTTTTAAATGCCAGGAAGTCAAATAGAAGCTGAAAATGAAAGGGAAAGATGGTAACTTTGTGCAGGCATAGATGTTGACCTAAATCATGTATATGGGTAATAGCAACCATAAAAAGGCCTTAGTGATGAAAAACAAACACATTAAACAAAAGTTTCACCTTAATATTCCAAATTATCTTTTCATCAGAGAATTCAACATTCAACTTTTATTAAAAGAAAAAAAAACGAAATCTAACAGACTAGCAATAGCAGCAAGCCAAACAAATGATACAGTCTTACATGTAACATGGACACAGCCACAGTGGCTGCCAGGAAGTAGAAGTTGGTGTCAGCAAATATTCCAACCAACTCATCTGTGTCCTTTTCTGTAAAACCTGCACAAACAACACATAAGAGTTGTTAGGATGGACTTTTCCAGATTTCAGCCTCCTCTAGAACCTATGCTTTATGTTTAATGACAATATATTAAACTTTAAAAGCCTTCTCACACCATATGGTGTATAGGGTAGTGCCCATCACGCATCTATGGTCCTTGGGCCACACAACCATGAAAGCTAGCACTAGACTAGGGGGCTAGTACACTGGTAGTGGTGTGTGTTAAACTCCCGTACTCTTTCTTAGTGCTAAGCAGATAAAGCAGCATATACATTGTACTATATTCAAAGTAATTAGTATGACCTGGATATTATTGAATCTGTGACCTTTTGCATGAACGTATTTATTTGGAATAAAAGGACTCACCCATTGTATGTAGGTGTTGAATAGACTGCTGTAAGTTAGTGTAGAGACGCAGACGACCCACGGAGATGGGGGAATAGGTCACTTCCAAGGTCATCTGTCGACTTTCCTTTGACACAGGCTAGAAAAATTGGAACATACAATGTAGCTTTTTTCTAGTTCTTATACATGACTTATTTCTTCATTCAAACAGGAAAATTGGAAACTAGAATATTTTATTTTAACATTTGGTGATTCACCTTCAGGTCTTTTAACCTTTGTCCAAGTTCATCAATGTAGAGCAGAGGGAGGTAGTCTCCTTCTGGAGAGAGCCTGCATACAATGGAGGGAGGGAATCTTTTGTTAGGAACAGCTGTAATAATATTATCCCAAAGGTCAAGCCCTCAACTTAATGAGGTTTGGCACTAGGACAAAGAAGAAGGTCAAAATTGTCATGATGATAAGAAAAACGCTTTTGCATGTATAGTTAAATGAATGTGCAATGGTTCATTTAGTTTGAAATGTACAAAAAATCTTTTCTGGCAGAAGAATGCCAGTTGGCAATCATAATAATACTGAACACAATTAGTACCACAGACATCATCAACAGGTTGCCATTGTTGAGTGACATATGACCTGACCCTTGACCCTCCCTGACCCACCTGATGAGACTGTAGAGGTCACCAGGTACACTGTAGCGGTCCAATAGCAGCGTCTCTTCCATGACGTTCACAGCTAGCTTACTCTTCCAATGGGTGACAGGAACATCGGGATGGTGGGCGGAGTTCTAAGGAGGAGAATTTATAGTTTATTGTTGATTACTGTTCATCATATGTATACAACAAACAAGAGATAGTGCTATGGTGAAATATATATACTATATGATAATGTATGAAAACTTCATGATCCTCACAGTTTTGTTCTTGTCCCCCAGCAGGTTGAAGCTCTCAGCCTCAGGAATGCTGTACTGAGTGAGCGAGGAAAACTGGTACACCGACCGCGCGTTGCCGAATGGCGACTCGCCCTGCGGGTACAGGAAAATGTGCACGAAGAATGTCCCGTTGTTCCGTGTTTTCTTGGGCAGACTGATGTTGAAGTTTCTGTGAATATAGCAAGTTGATGAAGTAGATACATTGTATTACTGTCAATTAGGCTTTTACATGATTTTTCCTAGGCCTCTAAACTTGATGGATAACTGATATCAGCTATGTTACATGGGCTGCTTATACCACTATCTTTAGGTTTACGATTCAAAATAGCAATAATATGGATGATTCTCATGATCACCTTTGTTCTGTTGCTCCTACAGTGAAGTTGTCAAACTTCCAGACCAGGTCCATAGAACTGCTGGTCGCTCCCTTACCCCTGGGGGAGGTGAACATGCTCAGCTGTGGGGGTGGGGAGAAGGGAGAGGGTACTAATAAGATAACACTGACTCAATCAATCCTACTAGTACTATGGAGGTCTTCTCCATGATCCTACGAGAATGGTTATTAATAAGAGATGATGCATTTAAAAATGTTTGTGATACAACCATCGGTTGGTGCCCATTTCATTGTTTCAATTGTCGGTTATCCAAACATTCAATTTTTCAGAGATGTAACAGTCTGTTAATACAATCCGGCAATAAATTATGAATATGATGTAAAATATTTTGAAAAGAAATTCCTGTTAAGATTCACACATATTGTGACTCTGAAATAATCTGAAGGATGTAATTGTTGTTTTAGTAATGATCCATTTTTGAACCACCTGCTGTGTTACCATACTTAGCGCCACCTGTTCATTACTTTGTTACTCTACGGACTGTAACAATTTGTCATCAATATGGCCAGGTTTTCATCAAACAGTGGATGGCTGACTTTATATATAAAGTTACCTGTATTGGTACTGAGATTGTACTTTTTTCTGTCCAAACCTCACCTCTAGTTTTGGGTTTCTGGCCAGGAAAGGCTTGATACAGGAGGACACAGCCGGGTCGCACGGTGTGGGGTAGAACAGGTCGAACATGGTCCACACCGAGTGGCCGACATACGCCATCCCCAGGCCCAACAGAATCGTGGTTAGCGACGGTACATACATGTTCTCAGTGTCAGCAATTACATGTACTGCAAAAATCAAACGTAAAAGCTAGCATGCAAAGTATACAATGAATGGCGTAGAAAAACACATATTTTATCACGCTCCCTGCCCATGCCCGGCGAACGTTAACGCATCCGACCCGGAAGTAAACAAGAGTTTGCGCACGGTTTGTAAGTCCGCTTGCAGAAAAATAGTGCGGAAAACGTTATGTTAAATCTATAGTTTGAGAAACTCTATTATTCCAAAATGTATCCAAAATAATCAAAAGGATACTGGGATAATACTGATTCAATAATTGACTGTAATTAAAGTACATTTGCTTGTGATGCGGATGTATTTCTCCTCCAATATGTGAAGCGCCTGGAAAAGTTTCATGTATCAAAAGCGACCTCTATAACACATGTCATTATTGCATGTAAATGTCAGCACCATTATATCAAAATCAAGACGATTGAAATTTATTTAAATCTGTTTGTTCAAATATTGCTGTATAAAAGAGTATTCTGACACACATGTATTACATGCACACTCTTTGATAACTGTTTAGAGCTGTTATGGATAAGATATCGTTAACTGGGGTTAAAGTTCAAGGTAGATTTCGCGCCAAACAGCTGACCAGCTGACCAGGTTAATGATTGTTACATGTGGCTATATTTGAGGACAGCGCCTGCACTTCGGCGTGTCTGGTTACGGCCCACTGTATTTCAGGCTACAAGAGGTCGAGGTGTCAAAGTATATTTCAGTATGGCGGAGGCAAGGCCAAGGTATTGCAAATCATACTAATTTCTGTAACTCTAATTTCTGTAATTTCTGTAATTTCTGTAAAAATGTCTCACAATGGTCTGTGTGTTATCACGCACACGTCTTGAATCGTAAAGCTTAGCACACTTAACCTTCGCTATCAACACAGATTCAACAGTATTGCTGTGATATAATCTTGATTTAGACTTACACTTTCTAACTCTGGTACACCCCATTTTAGTTCTACACCGTACCTTCGTTAGTAATGTGTGTATCACGTACAATGCCACTTATAGCCACGCCCCCTGCACAGTGTGTAAGTGTCCTATTTGATTGACAACTTTAGTGGAGTCAAACAGATTACACACACACAGGGGGGCATTCATGGAAGGTATGTTTGATAAGCCTTCTTGGTTGTACCTGTGGCACCTGTGCAATTATAATAAGCTGCATTCTGCAAGTATGCTTCGTAATCAAAATGCCAGTTGAGTTGCAGAAAGTTCACCAGAAAAATTTCAAGAATGTTGAAACATATTTAATTTACCCAGTGAGTGTCTGAGTGACAAAGGATCTGGTGCATTCCATCCCATCTACTAGTATATTGTATTGAATATTTATCATAATGCTATCAATGATATTGATTGTATTACTAACTTTTGTCTCCCATGTTCAGTTATGAAGACATCCAGAAAATCAGTGACTTCTTGCTGAGTAAAACCAAGCACCGACCCAAGGTGGGTTACTATAGTTCACTGATCTGTTCACCTGTTCAGAGCTTAGACTTGAAAATAACATCATAATGTTGCATGTTGAGGTGGCAGGCTTTTGAACAATTCCCCCAAAATACAGTTTTTCAACATATAATCATACGCAATGGCTCTAAATCTGATTGAGGCATATTTTGGAAATAATGAATTCCATAATTGTTTTCAAATGCCCTTGACTATTTGGCCTTATATAAAGAGTGTCATCTATTCTCCTTAAACTGCGTTTTTGTACTTTTTGGTATGCAGTTAAATGTCAATGTTTCTGGAATGACATGTAACATTAGTTTATGCTTGACTCCAGATTGCAGTGATTTGTGGCTCTGGCCTGGGTGGCTTGGCTGATGTAGTAGAGGATCAAAATGCCATTGACTACACCGAGATCCCAAACTTTCCCAGGAGCACAGGTGAGTGACTTCAAACCTCTACAAATGGTTTCTCTCAATATGTTCAATGAACATGTCTTACTCATTTCCCTTTGGATGGGGATCAGATACTGATGACAGTGTGTTTACTGCTAAGAATGAATGTTGACACTGTTTTGTTCCAGTGCCTGGTCACAAAGGGCGGATGGTGTTTGGTCTGCTGGCTGGGAAGACTGTAGTCTGTATGCAGGGGCGCTTCCACCCTTATGAGGGCTACCCACTGTGGAAGGTACTGAATAAGGCATTACAGACATTTCGACCGTTATCCAGTGATCTTCTTCGTTCTTTTCTTTTTATGTTGCTGTTACTACTGTTTTCAGACTATTACAGTTGCTGATGGCTAGATAAACACTATATCTAGGGCATAAGAAAATTTAAGAAAAATGCAATATCAAAATCCTAGCTAGAGCCTCAGTTAGTTAACTTACTGAAGATAGACAACCACAAACTTAAGTCCCGATAATTTCACAACAGTAACAACTACAATATCTCTCGCCTGATTTGTTCCTCATCTTCTGTGCACCAACCAGACAGCTTGTTTCATCTGAAGCAACCAATCACAGTCATTGCCCTGTCCCCCCTCCCCCAGGTGGCCCTGCCAGTGCGTGTGTTTAAGCTGATGGGAATAGAGACCCTGTTTGTGACTAATGCGGCCGGAGCGTTGAACAGCAGCTTCAACGTGGGAGACATCATGCTGATGAAGGACCACATCAGCATGCCTGGTCTGGCCGGGGACAACCCACTCAAGGGACACAACGAGGACAGGTGCAAACAGTATTCCTCCTGAAGTTTTGTGTTAAATATAACTATTGGTAGCCACTATCTAGTACACTGCATCAGGCATACCCACTGAATGCTACTTTCACAGCATGCAAAGTGTCTATACGAGTGACTACCATGACGTCACAGCCAACGAATGGTAGGCAAAAGATTGGGTGATTTGCCTGAAAATAATTTGAATATGTCTTGAAATGATTTGCATGTAGATGATAAAAATAGTGGATTTTCCCCTATCTAGGTTTGGTCCGCGTTTCCCAGCCGTCTCGGATGCGTACAACAGCGAGCTTCGTCAGCTGGCGCGGGACATCGGGAAGGAGCTGGGGTTTGAGTCGTTCATGCAGGAGGGCGTGTACGTGCAGGTGGGGGGGCCGTCCTACGAGACCATCGCCGAGTGTAAACTGCTGCGTATGCTGGGGGGAGACTGTGTAGGTCAGTACTACAGTAACTAAAATTCTCATCCTAGCCTGGTGTTAGGTCTATCACGGTTGGGGCAGGTTTTCTTCGCGGCTACAGAAGCTCTTCCCTGCCTGACTCCACTCGGTTCCCTAGTAGGTTTTGTACAACGAGAAATTCAATTAGCCCCACCACATCAAACTCCTATAGGTGTAATACTCCTACATGGTGGTCTGTTGAGCTGGACGGGGAAAACTTCCAGTATTAGAGCCCCGACGACAGCCTGCCCCAACCTCTGATTCAAGTAGTCACAGAAATTTCACTACGCTTTTCACATCAGATGAATGTCTGGGAACTTTAGGAAAATGTTTTTGTGACACAACCTACAAAAAATTTATGGTGCCAAGTGTTAAAGGGTCTTGAATGTCACTGTTAGAGGAAAAGTTAGTTTTAATTCAGAAAAAAATGACTATCACAGAAAAATACAAATTGTTTCATCTAGGTATGAGCACTGTCCCTGAGGTCATTGCTGCAAGGCATTGTGGGATACGTGTGTTTGGGATGTCGCTGGTGACCAACATGGTGGTGATGGACTACGACGCGAAGGTGACCGTCAACCACGAGGAGGTCCTCGAGACAGGGAAGCGCCGCGCCCAGGACATGCAGAAGCTCGTCTCAAAGATGATTGGTCAGCTGTAAGCTGGAGAGTAGAGCAAAGAAATCAATCTCACCCCAAGTGCTTGTTGAAAAAAATTTATACTAGTATACAGTCAAGTATGCAAGTCTGTCTCTTGAATGGTGTGAATCACACATTTAATTCTTTAGGTCTGAGAAGAAGAACAAGATTACCGAGCAGCTTATTCCAAATGTATCAAAATAATGGTGATTTCAATATTTTCTTGCAATAAATCTTGCTGTCATTGTGTCTCTGTAAAAGTACTTGTTCAGTTCTATCCCTTAGCATGAATGGTCAATTTTCTTCTTACATGTCAATTAACATACTAATGACGTAGATTTAAAGAAAATTTGTCAACAATTTGTTCTATGAGTTTCAAATAAAGAGATCTAGAGAGTAACACTGAGATGTAAGGAAGAAAAAAATGTAAAATAAAAATGTCAACAAGATTGATTAGTTAGTCATGTGGCCTTTATTATCATGAAAATGAAACAGTATGTGTTCACACTTATTTTACACCACATACAATTCTAGAAGGAGAAAAACGTGAAAGCAAGCCACAGACACCCCTAGACCAAAGTTAAATTAGAAGAAGGTAGAAGGCTTTGCTCTCAAGTCCAGAAACCTTTCAGAGGGACCCGCCCCCGGTATTATTTGTGTCAAACGTTAACTGCGCAGAGGAGGTGCGCATTGACATCAATCGTCAATCTGACAGGTGCCCCAACTAGGGTGAAAAGTTCAGCTACATAAGCTAGCAGATTGTTTTATACCCTACATCTCTCTGTAGTGCTAAATATCTCTGTATACTATAGTGCTCTATAATAATATGTTTCATACGACACATCAAAAGGACTGGAGGTTACAGTAGTCACTCTTTGGAAGATGGCTGAAGCAGAAGGAACGTAAGTTTTTAGTGTTGCCTGCTACCAAAAACAGGTGGCACCGACAAGTACACGTACGCCAGGTTAATGTTTGACTGAAGAGGCCTGTTTGTTTCGCAGAACCGCAAACCGCATTTTCAGCGTAAAACACCAGTAGCTGACCGTGAATTTCAAAGCTGCGTATTAAATTCCGGACTGTAATGTTTGCATGCCACTCAAACCGGGATGGACATCTACTCGAAAAGAGTAGACAGGGATCGTTAACGTGGCTACCCTCAAGGGCGTCAGTGACCTAGTTTCTCGTACCTGAGTCGAGTGAGTTTAATAGGATAGAGCGCATTTCCAAGCTAAGGGCACAGCGTTAACATCGGGCCCGCTAGGGATTCGAACAGAACCTTTAGATTCAAGTCTATTATCACAAGACGACGTTGTCACCACATGTCTTGTGTCTGTATGTGCTTGTATGTATGTGCTTGTATGTATGTGCTTGTATGTATGTGCTTGAATGTATGTGCTTGTATGTATGTGCTTGTATGTAGGTCAAATCTATACATTTCTTGTCACCGTGTTTGTGCTTAGCACACACCGTGTCATTTTAATGTATTGCTTCTCCTCTGGAGGACGACCCTTGGAGACATCCGGCATATCAGTGACTTCCTACTGAAGACCACAAACCACCGACCAAAGGTACTACTTGAGTGACACAAAGCGAAATTATAATACTTCATTTAGCCTCCTCATCTTAGAAGAAAAGCGGGTTTTTGCCATCGGCAAGAATATTTTAAAAACGATACTAACTGAATTGAGAACTCCTTGTGTTACCTTGTTTTAAAACAAATACCGATTGAAACATTGCCTTCATAACTTCATATTCTTCTCATCTGGTTATAGCAGTTTGGGCTTAAAAGAATGCACCGGCTAATAAAGTACTTAATTTA